GTAACTCTCTCTAGTAAACACCTACCTAAAGGCGTGGTTCTAAAGATGTTCAATACAGGTTCTACTGTACACTTGATCATGAGTTTTACAAGATATATTCCTGTATTTTCCAATTCCGTACACTTGTTTTTCTGGCTTTGTACTTTAACTACATCCTAAAAATAATTGATGGTACTTCACACTGTAAACACATTCATTTCATCTAAATCTTCCGAAGGTGAAATAAAGTTTAAACTGAAGAATCCTGGTAGAAATCCATCTCTCTTTGCTAATAACCCAGTTCCAATGTGATCTACATATCTTCAAATATTTTTTATTTGTTCAATTACCTAGAAGTCCATGTAAAATCTATGAATACTTAAAATATTATTGGCGCAATCTCCCTTTATATTTGCTTCTGACTTGTCTTATGTTTATCATCAATAACCTTGACCTTGTCTACAAATCTCATCTTGCTAGCCTCATTGGTTAATTCTAATTTTGGTACATTCCGTATCTTAAGAGATCGAGTAGTCATATCCTTAATCCTACAGAAACGTCCTTCATTCAACAACAAAGGCAAGTGTTTGTCTGCAGTGAACATGTAACTGTACTTTAGGAAAACTGCTTATATGTACAAGAACAGTACAAGTACTATATATATGTACTTGCATGTATAATTAGTGTACTTATATGTATACAAGTACTGTACTTACATATACCAGTACTGTACTTACATATACCAGTACTGTACTTACATGTACAAGTACTGTAATTACATATAGAACTGACCTTATACTTACAAGTACTCTACTTATATACTATACAAGTATTCAACAAATATGTACAAGTACACCGTACTGTAATTACATATAGAAGAACTGAACGTATACTTACAAGTACTCTACTTATATACTATACAAGTATTCAACAAATATGTACAAGTACTGTACTTACATATACCAGTACTGTACTTACATGTACAAGTACTGTAATTACATATAGAACTGAACTTATACTTTCAATTACTCTACTTATATACAAGTATTCAACTAATATGTACAAGTACTGTACTTGTACTCTCAGATAATCTTAAAGAAGCATTTTTGTTTGATGTATTTCTTCTTTACTCTGTAAAATATGAGTGATCTGCTTGATGTTTCATGGAATTTCTGTACCATTTGGACTGATACTTACATGCCTGTTTACTTTATTCCTTGCTGATTCCTCTCATTTCTCTCTAAAATTTGAATGAACTGCCTAATTTTCTTGCATTTCTATACAATTTAGAGTGTTGACTACATGCCTCTTCACTTTATTCCTTGCTGATTCCACTCTTTTCTATCATATTTGATATTTCAAAACATGACCAAACAAAAAACAATAAATTTCAACAACAGCTCATATGTGCAGTATACCATTTATGTACCTAACCTAAATCTATGCTCGGAAAGATGAGATAAAGCTCCTAATTGTGCCCATCATTAATTCTCATTCCTCATGCACAAAATCTCTATTTCGCATCAGTTTCACTTTTGAATCTTTGATGAGTCCTTAGTCATTCATTTACATCTTCATATACATATCCCATTACTTTACCTAATCCTCAATCCTTGGGACACTTTTAGAGTAAAATTATGTTTGTACTTTGAGCTTTTACAGTTTCAGAACCATATATCTGATGCCTCCATATCTATGCAAACAGTTTAGAATTTGCTCCTAAAACTTATGATACATCATTACTCCATCACATATACATCTTTATCTCACACAAGATCAGTTTCTTTTCTTAATTCTGGAAATTTATCTTCAACACGCCATATCCATTTACTTTACTGTCTTTAAAGCCCTTGGAATACTCAAAAAGCATGAGTCTACGCTTAGAAGTTTACACTTTTAGAGCCGTTAAAATTGATGTTCAAAGTTATGATCGTCCCATCTTCTGATGATATACCAAGCTTATCTATCCATGTTAGACCTTCATGGTAAGACATAAGACAAGCCCATCAAAACTATTCCTCTTTGACCTCAATTATTCTCAAAAATCTAAATGAAATGTCCAATTTTGTTGGATTTGTATATAATTTAGATAGCGGAGTCCATGTGTGCTTTATTCATTTCACATATATTCCTCGGTTTTTCATAGTATTCCATGGGAAATATGTGACCATGATGGACTTTATTTGAAGGTTCCTCACCAGATAAATCTATTCCTAGATATAAACATATTTCTATATGGGCTATCTTATCTTTACTTCTAGTCTTCTACCATACTGTAAAATATTAGGATTTATTAAATCTATTTTAGTCAATTTCCATATTTCGAATGTCAATTCAATATTTAGTGCAATTAACTATGGCAATGATTATTTAGGGCAAAATGACCTTTTGAAACTTTTTAAGAACACTCTTGAAAAATATAACTAGGTTAAACATCATGTTTTATAGTAATGAGTATAATATACCATATAATATTTAAACCAATTTCCTGGTTTCACTTTTAATTCTGCTTCAAGTAATAGTTTAATGTTACCTGGGATCAATTAATTTATATCTATTGCCCTCAAGTCTTTAAATTTTTTTGTAAGGGCTGAGATGTGGTTACCATGGTAGCCAGCTACATGTAAACATGGATTTGTGTTAGTGATTCAGAGCTTAGGGTAAAACATGATACCCCTATCATTTTCAAATACAGCAGTATGTACATGTACATATATGTAATTTGCATTTGCACATATTGCAACCATTTTAGTGATTTCTTATTGAGAGCTACTTGGGTGGAATTCACTGAAATTTTTGTCCCATTTTTGGGAACTTTGGCTTCTTTAAAAAATTTGGAGGGAGATTACAAAATCCAAGGGATTAGAGCAAGCATTTATCTTCAGGACAATTTCAAATTGTATTTTTTAATCCAATTAATATTACAATATGAAAAATCAAACCCCAACATTACTGAAATCAGGTAAATTTTCAAGCAACTCTTATAAATCTTTTGAATCCTTATTCATTCCAAATTGAAACATTGGTTCATGCTGTCAATTAATAATTTTTTTTTGAACACTTTTTAATTAGGTCTCTTTATCCACTCTTAAAAGTGAGCTTCGTCTTTATAAAGTAGAATTCTGACTGGTGTATTTATATCTTGTAGAACTGCACCTCTGTAAATTGTTATTACAAACAAATCAAAACAAAATTATTTAGAAAATGGCAAAGGAAGTTGAGTTCTTATAATACTCAAAGTACTGCCATCTATTATCTAAATTATATGTTATAAGTAGTTTTATTATAAAATTATTTAGAAAATGGCAAAAGGAGTCGAGTTCTTATAATACTCAAAGTACTGCCATCTATTATCTAAATTAAATGTCAACCAATCAACGAACTGGAAGGAACACGTACAAAATGCATGCTCGTTAACAATGCAATGATGTCAAAGAAAATGACCATATAGAAAGTCGTAGAATTCTCATTGGCTCGGTGAGATCAGCGGTTTAATATAAACTGAAAGAGTGAAGACGAAGCTCACTTTTAAGAAGGGAAGTCGAACGAATGCAAAGGGAAGGATATAACTCAATATTTTCCAACAATGAAAATATGAGAATGTTGAACGTTTTTGAACATTATAATTGACTATAAATTCATAATCAACAGACCGAAAAATTCGAACCAATATCGATCACTTCTTGTGCGTTTTAGAATTTTTTGTTTGGAAATAAGACCAAAATTCGCGATTCAAATTCTGAAGTGAACAAAATAGAAGCTGTTTGAATTTAAATTTTTAATCACAACATCTCCAAATATGGCAGAATATCAAGTTGGAACACTGGGAGCCAATCCTCCTTGATCCGGTCGATCAACTTTAGAATCATAATGTGTGGATAATAAACTTACTCTAAAAGTAATTGTATCTTATATTATCTTGGCATATTGGGTTGTATTTAAAAGCAAATTTATGAAGATTGCATCATCAATGCATGTTTTGTGTCACAATGTGTTGTATATAAAAGCACTATATATGCAGATATGTATGTTATAATACAGCATTAATTCCAAAGAAAATCATGCACCAAGTCTTGGATCAGTCTACTCATCCCATTTGCAGTTTGCAGTTTGCAGTTTGCACCCAGTGTTTTTATCAGCCCTGGGTTTTAATTGTCAGATACTAGGTAATGTAAAGGACGACTCTCGGTTTGGAGAACGAAGTTCATCACTCTAAATGAGCATTATCCCTGCTTCGGACAAATTTGATTTTTTTACATAATATAGATTTGAATGTTTTCTTTTGAATAGTCATAATTTAATTTGGGTAATATTTCTAGATTTTTCGCAAAAAAAATATTAGCGCAGTACACTGATGAACTTCTTTCCCCAAATCGAGACTTGTATTTTATTGAATCGGTCTAATTGAGCGTTATCCCTGCTTCAGACCAATTTGTTATTTTTACATCTTATAGATTTAAATGTCCTCTTTTGAATATTCAAACTTTAATTTGGGTAATATTTTTATATTTTTTATGAAACAAATTATTAGCCCAGGAGACTGTTCTCCAAACCGAGAATCGTCCTTTGGGAAATGAGACTTGTTGCATGACTGACATAACAAGGTATTAACATGCAATATGCCACTACCTGCCATTTGTTACAGATGGCATAAACTGTCCACAGACACTAAACATTCACAAAAAAATTTGTAGACTAACAATATGCCAACACTTCTGGTGACATCCTCCAACCACAGGGCTTCAAAATTCAGAATATCTTCTTTCTTTTTAACCCCTGCTATAACCAAGTTGGAAGCGCCTGCCTAAATTGAATCACGTGATCTAATTATGCGCCAATGACGTATACATGATTGCTGTCGCAGTGTTGCAACAGCGAATCAAATTGCGCGTTCTTAATCGGGAAAATTCGAACTGCTTATAGCAGGGGGGAAGAAGGAGGTACGGATTCTGGACACCGGCTTAGGAGGATGTTCCGGTGATGACATAAAAACTACATAAGAACAAGATAAAATGACTTACTTTACTGTTGCTTGAGTTGTTCCGATTTCCAAACTTATTTCCCGCTACTGCTTTCCGTGGACTCCGTGGACTTTGTAACTTCCCTGGGGGTGGGGAACAGGGTGGGGTTGAAGGTGACCCAGGACGGATCCTCGGTGAAGTTGGACGGCCGGATTTTGAAGAATTCCCGCTCGAGGGTGGATGTTTGATTGGTTCACCCTTTATTATTTGTCGTAAATTCTCTTTTAGAAGTTGCTGTGTATCTGGTTCACTCAGCCACCTGAGGAACAGTTCATCAACCTTCAATTTTAATACTGGTTTCAGCGACATCTTAAATGTTTAGTTTTACTATTGGCTCTCATTAATATCCATGTTTAACCTACTATTTCTATGCATAATATATATTTTATATATACAGTAGCTTGAGTAGCATTGTCTTTATGTTGGACAATTTTTGTTGGATCCTGTAGATATATCTGGAAATTAATCAATATAAAAATTAGGCTGTTTCAATGAATAATCTACATTCATACATAGCTAGGCAAGATTGGTATGTCAAATTCCAGCCATCTGAACATGCAATAGCTTTTTAATATAACTCACTGCAGTGCAATAGGGTGAAGGGGTGTAACGTCGACACCATTTTGGGCTAACTTCGACATGTGGGGTAACTTCGACACCTTGTTGTTTATTTGCTCTAATTTCCAATCTAGGGGGAACCCATGTTTTTTTTCTCGCATGGATCGAGATCTCGCGAGATTTTAATTTTTCCAGAAATCAAACATGGCGGAAAACGGAAATTCTACTTCTAATACGTAAGTGTCGAAGTTACCCCGTCTATTATGTCAACATCACCCCACACGTCGACATTACACTCCTTTGCCCTATATCGCCAATCGCCACATCCAAGATCACTCCTGTGGTTGTCAAGATGGTTGATGCTATAAAGTCTATGTACTACTGACATTCATGAATGTTTATTTACTTCTAAAGGTAGTCGACAGCCTCAACCTTTCACTAGTCTATGTCTTATATTTTTAATTCTACCAATGCAGTATCAGACTGGGAAAAAAGTTGTAGTTTTTTTTGTCCACTAAAAGAATCTTCTGAAATTTATTGAAGTATGACCTAGTCATTTTTATCAGTTACACTGTACTAGCCAAATTTTTCCATTATGTAACGAAATAGACAACGTATGATGCTCGAAGGAACCGGATAAGTCTAGGCTATTTCACTCATTGATTGACTGAAGCCCCACTGAATCAATCACTCAAGGAATTTTCTTCAAAAATGTAGCATGCACTAAAAATCTAAGATGGTATGAGAAGTTTGTGTATAACATGGTCAATATTTTCTCTGGAGTCAATAAAGACGTTTACAGTATACCAACATTCTGCATCAGATGCTTCATGCTTCAAAGTAGAGGAATGGGCAAAACATACTTACCAAATTCAAAATATTGAAATGAAGTTTATGATGAGACCGAGGCAATGAAAATGCATTATAATTACGCAACGTAGTGATCAGAGCAATAAACGCTCCGTATTGTCAGACATAAATATGAGGAAATGCGGAATAGAAAAGCAAATAAATGCTAGATATTTGTCAAGAACAGCTATATTATATTATATATTTACCATTATTTACATTAAAAGGCGTATAAAATGAGTTAATGCAAATTCGTAACTGTGGTGTGAGATAAAACCACCTGTCAATCGAAAGAGGGCGCTGTGATTTGTTTAGACATGGCGGCAATGTTTTCATAGAATAAATACAAAGTTTCCAGGTTTTTGTGATATTGCCTTTGCAGTTGTAAGTTATATTTGTTTTACTTTACACCTGCCATCAAACCTTAACTCATTTGTCTATATTAGAGGATAAATTGGTTAAAGAAGTCGAATTATTACGAGAAAGTACTTTTTTTGTCATGTTTTTTTTAAAATCTCTAATCAATCAAAGGAGTTGCTATGCTCATATCATGTTTCATCTTCATGCAATGTCCGTAGCAAATATCAGAAAGAACCAGGTAGTTTCCAAATGTTGACTATTTTATCGATTGAAACATTTAGACACAAATTTACACCCCCTCAGGCACATAATGCGTAGACAGCTTTTGTCAAGGTCTGTTCATTAAAAACACTGGGTTTCATGTTTGACAATTTAGGATTAAGGCCAGAGTGCACTTTGGAATTTTTTGATAATAACAGTTTCGGTACGTTGGCATCTTTTGTGCAAGAATTCATTGTTTTATTTCATAAGTAGAATCTAAAAATATAAATCAAAAGATCATTATGCAATAATATATGGAAAAATATATTCCTATTGTACATGAATGACATTTGTATATCTTGGATTGCTTCTAGTTTGGCTAATAAAGTATGTGGCCTCTTATATTTTGATGCTTCTCCACCATTGTATTTTCAAAAAGATTAACATGGCTGAAATTCTCTAAATTACAAGAGGGCATAGGCTTATTGCACAAAAAACTAAATAATCTGAAATATACAAATGTCATTCATGTATAATATGAATATACTTTTCCATATATTATTGCACAATGGTCTCCTGATTTTTGGGGTTTTATTGACGAAATAAAACAGTGAAATGGGCTGTTTAGATGATGTGTGGAATGAGTTATGTTTATCTGAAATTAGTGCTCAAAGTGCTCAAATTTGTGTGAAACTGCAAGAATTGAACCTACCTGCTGATTAAATGGACCAGCCCTAATAGAAAAATACTCAGCTCCATGCATATGTAGTCTAAGTCTAGGCTCCCTTTATCTTTCAAGTACAGGATAACTGTACATATTAATACATGGGTCTTGGCTCCATGCAAAGTTGATGTTGATCCTAACTTTCACAAAAACTGAGAAATATTAGATAGATGTAATATCAATATCAGTAATTTTTCGATCAATCATAAATATCCACATAAAAATGTAAGAAGTATTTCCAATATTTACCAACAAGAAAAATCTACATCATGCAGTACCTTAATTATTGGGAAACCTGTATATCTGAACACCTCTCTAATCCGACCACCTTTCAATGTGAACACTTTTTCTTGGTCCCCTATTTGTAGTCTTCCATTGACTTACAACCTTGAAATATGAACACCTGCTAGTCCAAACACTTTTTGCTGGTCCGAGAGGTGTTCGGATTGAACAGGTTTTACTATTCTTCCCCATGCAATATATTTAGATCTACATAGTACATGTAGTTGTCCAGATGTACATGTGTTGATGGTCTAATGGCATTATATTATAATTTTGGCAATTTTCTTTCAAAGCAGGTCAATGCAATATTTTTTTTTTTCTCGTGTAGTGACTATATATTTCTAGAGTTGATTCAGAATTTAACATTTTTGACAAAAAGTACTCTTAAAGGACAACTGAAATAACTTTTCTCAACTTGCAGCTACAAAAACGCGGTTTTCTCCATTGTAAGCCCAACGTAGAGTTCTTGCGATAGCCATTATAAAATAAATGTTAGATAACTGCTAACGGTCATAGATAACAAAATAAAACTAACTGATTAATCAAATTGGCCCCCACGTGATTAGTAACGTCATATACAAAATATAGCTTTGGTTTATTGGTTTCTTAGTAATCACAACGCCATGGCAACCATAGGATTGTTGTGTAAACTAATAACAAAACATTTCGGCATTATGACGTCATGATCCAATGGACCAAAACGGGCCATGTGGGGACCAGTGAGAGATCATGTGGGGGCCAATAACATCACAACCAATTCGAATATTGCTTATTAAGCAGCTAATAACGATCGTTAGAGTAAAATAATTTCCACACTACTGATGAGAAAACATGTCCAAATACATCTATCAAAAAATTATATTGATTCCTTTTAGGTTAAAAATACCATTTCATATCTGCTTTAAGTAACTTGTATTAAAATTATCATTAAAAAAGCCTCTTGCTTTAAGTACTTTGAATTTTACACGGGGCGTTTAAATGTTAGCTACAGTATATTTAATAGCCATGTATTTCTATGGTTGATTCAAAATTAACATCTTTGGTATAAGTTACTCTGAACTCGTATATGCTGTCCTAATGTACCTTTTACAAAGTGGTTTAAACTTTACACAGGACCTTTAAATGTTTGCTACGTGTACAGTAATAGCCATGTATTTCAGATCTATGGTTGATTCAAAATTAACATCTTTGGTATAAGTTACTCTGAACTCGTATATGCTGTCCTAATGTACCTTTTACAAAGTGGTTTAAACTTTACACAGGACCTTTAAATGTTTGCTACGTGTACAGTAATAGCCATGTATTTCAGATCTATGGTTGATTCAAAATTAACATCTTTGGTATAAGTTACTCTGAACTCGTATATGCTGTCCTAATGTACCTTGCACAAAGTGGTTTAAACTTTACACAGGACCTTTAAATGTTTGCTACGTGTACAGTAATAGCTATGTATTTCTAGGATTGATTCAAAATGAAGGTGTTTGACAAAACTGTACCCTTTAAGGACCAGAAGTATGATCAGTTGAAGAAAGATTGTCGTGCAAAAGGGGACCTTTTCACAGATCCAGTTTTCAAGGCAGAAGCATCCTCTATATATTTCAGCCAAGAAGTTCCGGAAGATATTGAATGGAAAAGACCTGGGGTAAGAATTGAATACATCATGGAGTTGAAATTACCATAGTCACTTGACTGCCATCTTTTTGCCAACCTAGCTTTTATAAAATGATTAAAGGTATATCCAGGGGTTTCACTAGAATTTCTCACAACAGACTAAATAAATGAAAGCAACAGGTAAAATTAATGGAAATTATAAATTTAATATGGAAAAGTTGAAAAGTCCCTAAAAGCAACAGGCGATTTTGTGAAACAACTGGTGAAAATTGCCTGCTGCTAACGAATCCCCTGATATACTGTATATTGATATACTGTATATTGCATAGAATAGGCTATTTTCTCGGTATGATAAAACATGTGAGTTCAAAAATAAATTGTGAGGATTGCATCGTATTTTGTAAAATGTAACTTGATCCCCTGTATGGAACCCATTTCCACCTTATCCAGGTAGCTATTTTGGAAGTTCAAAAATGTAAACTTCAAAACCCTTTAAATTAAAAAAAAATAATTTATATCTATATGGTTTAATTATTAATGAAAACTATATCATATGGAAAATTATTTTAAATAATAATAGAAAATAATAATAATCATTGAATTCAGGAAATCAGTGAAGACCCGAAGCTGTTTGTTGATGGAGCAAGTCCCGATGACTTTGACCAAGGGGAGGTCGGCAACTGTTGGTTCATAGCAGCTTGCGCTTGTATAGCCAGTGATGACTCACTTTGGAAAAAGGTATGTATTCATAGCAGCTTGCGCTTGTATAGCCAGCGATGACTCACTTTGGAAAAAGGTATGTATTCATAGCAGCTTGCGCTTGTATAGCCAGTGATGACTCACTTTGGAAAAAGGTATGTATTCATAGCAGCTTGCGCTTGTATAGCCAGTGATGACTCACTTTGGAAAAAGGTATGTATTCATAGCAGCTTGCGCTTGTATAGCCAGCGATGACTCACTTTGGAAAAAGGTATGTATTCATAGCAGCTTGCGCTTGTATAGCCAGCGATGACTCACTTTGGAAAAAGGTATGTATTCATAGCAGCTTGCGCTTGTATAGCCAGCGATGACTCACTTTGGAAAAAGGTATGTATTCATAGCAGCTTGCGCTTGTATAGCCAGCGATGACTCACTTTGGAAAAAGGTATGTATTCATAGCAGCTTGCGCTTGTATAGCCAGCGATGACTCACTTTGGAAAAAGGTATGTATTCATAGCAGCTTGCACTTGTATAGCCAGTGATGACTCACTTTGGAAAAAGGTATGTATTCATAGCAGCTTGCGCTTGTATAGCCAGCGATGACTCACTTTGGAAAAAGGTATGTATTCATAGCAGCTTGCGCTTGTATAGCCAGTGATGACTCACTTTGGAAAAAGGTATGTATTCATAGCAGCTTGCACTTGTATAGCCAGTGATGACTCACTTTGGAAAAAGGTATGTATTCATAGCAGCTTGCACTTGTATAGCCAGCGATGACTCACTTTGGAAAAAGGTATGTATTCATAGCAGCTTGCGCTTGTATAGCCAGCGATGACTCACTTTGGAAAAAGGTATGTATTCATAGCAGCTTGTGCATGTATAGCCAGTGATGACTCACTTTGGAAAAAGGTATGTATTCATAGCAGCTTGTGCTTGTATAGCCAGTGATGACTCACTTTGGAAAAAGGTATGTATTCATAGCAGCTTGGGCTTGTATAGCCAGTGATGACTCACTTTGGAAAAAGGTATGTATTCATAGCAGCTTGCGCTTGTATAGCCAGTGATGACTCACTTTGGAAAAAGGTATGTATTCATAGCAGCTTGCACTTGTATAGCAAGTGATGACTCACTTTGGAAAAAGGTATGTATTCATAGCAGCTTGCGCTTGTATAGCCAGTGATGACTCACTTTGGAAAAAGGTATGTATTTGTTGCTGGTGGTCGGATTTTAAAATCCAAAATGTGGACAAAAGAATGAAATCAACAGGAAATCAAGTGAATATATATCTGTGGTTAATACTCCTAATTGTGTAAAAATGTGAGACAATAAAGGAATTTATTCAAGATTTTACAGAGGAATGATGTAAAACAAATGAGACCATGTTTTGAATATAGAAAAAATGAAGGAATTAAGGGAATATGTGTACATGGAACACTCTAAATTGTATTGAAATGAAAGGAAAATTATGTAATTAATTCAATGTTTTGAGAAAAATTGTATAAAACACATGAGTGGGCCATGTTTTAAAAACCAAAACATAGAAAAAGGAAAGAGTATTCAAATTTTAAACACCTTTCAGAGCTACCCATATACAGACTACCAAACAGAACTTCATAAACTGTAACAATATAACGATTCACATTTCTAAGAAACAAAAAATACCACCTTTCTTTCCCTTTCAGGTTGTGCCAGACCATAAAGATCAAGAATTTTCCTCAAATTATGCCGGCATTTTCCATTTCACATTTGCAAGATTTGGTGTTTGGCAAGATGTCGTTATTGATGATTTGTTACCAACAAGGAATGGCAAATTGATTTTTGTCCAATCAAAATCCAAGAATGAGTTTTGGAGCGCCTTACTAGAGAAAGCTTATGCCAAGTAAGTATCTAGATTAACTTGAAATTATACAGTGACCAACTATAGGCATGTTATAAAAACCTTCAGAGGTTAGATAATATTGGTTACTATGCCAATGATTTATGGGACTTTAAACATTTCTTTCTTTTCTTGCGAAATAACTGGCTTGAAAAAATTGAAATACATACAGTGAACACATAGAAAGGTATAACAGACATTTTAGGATGTTTTCACATTTAAGACAATATTTGTTACCATGACAACAGATATATAATAACAAGGAATGTTTACTTTCACTTCAAATTCAAGTAATCAAATAGAAGTTTTTCATTATTTTCAGAGGTTTTCACATTTTGCAACAGCTGTTACCACGACAACAAGTAATAATGAATGTTTACTTTTACTACAAAGTCATGTAATCATAAAGATCTTTATTTTAAGAGGTTTTCACACTTTGAAAAATATCTGTTACTATGACAACAAATAATAATCATTCTCTAATATAATATTGTTTGCGACTAGGTGGTGACATTTTGTCACATTAATATAATGCCCTGTGTTCTATAGTTGGACTCAGGGCCTTTGCATATAGGTTGCGCCACTTGTTTTGATCATATCCAAATATATCAAAATCGGTTTCATAAAGTTTCATATATTCATCCATTTCAATTTGAGTAATTTGTTTAAGTAAATCTTTAATTAATTCAGCTTTGTGATTTTCTTTTTGTTCTCTGGTTGGTTTGTATTTTGTTGCCACGGTGATAAAGAATTGCAAGATTGCTTCCTTTGTATTGAGTATTTGATTATCTGTTATATTTGCGCCAATGGTTGGATCTATTATACCTTTATGCACGAATCCTTCCCAGATTCGATGTATAAGTTCCCGTTGTGATTCACATTGGATTAGTTTATTCCACTCATTCTTGCTAGGATGAAGTTTGAATACGATAGCATCGATGTTGCGCTGTTCCTGGGTTGACGTCATGTTGACCAAATGGCTGACATTGATTTGACGAAACAATTCTTTGATATCCGAAATCATTGTTTCCTGTTTACCGATGAAGTCATACTCTATTTGGCAAGGATGGCAGACGTGTATTTGTTCCCCATAGTGTGCAAAAGCAGGGCGACTATCAAAAATTCCAGCATTGATTGCAGAATTGAAAAGTTCCTTAAATGTAACATCATGTCCACATCTCAATGATTTTGCACTCGCATTAGGTCGAAAAACAGATATCATTTTCCTCCCAAACTTAGACCTGAATTCGTTGTCAGGGAAATATAGTTTATCTTCGTAGAAAGAAATCAGCCTCGAGAGTGGGTCTCGAACGAACAAGTACTTGTAGTATGTTTTAAGTATCCGTTCTGCATCTGCCGGCTTGTATTCATTGAGAGATTTCAAATCGTTACGATTGTGAGCTAAATATGGTGGGATATTCAATGGATTTGTAACTGGCAAATCTCCAATAAGAATAGCAAGTATTCTGTTAAGTAACGTACTGCCTGCCTTTTGCACGTGACAGGACACAATTTTACGTTTTTCGTCAACAAACATGAAAAGGTACGGATTATTCAACTTCGGTGTTTTTGTAAAGTTGAGCATTTTGTGTTTTTTACATCCCTCCTTTATTTTTCCTAACCTGTATTTTTGTGTTGAGACTGTAGTAATTAAATCCTCATGCAGAACTACTTTGGTGAATAACTTTTTTGGTGTAGGAATCCTGGATACTATTTTTGTCACACGTACCTGAAATAGAAAATAGAGCAGATTGAAGATATTTTAAAAAATGGTTTTATAAATATTTGGTTTAAGTCATCGGGATATATGTACTTTTTCATACTAGCGAAAGAGATAGTCTGATAAATCTAAATACTGTATAACATGAAATATTGCCGTGGATATAAAGTTGCCGATTGCCGAATATAAAACAGAAAAGGCAACTGACAACCGGCGAATCATAGAAAACAAACGGCGATTTTGGACTCTCGCCCCCTGCTATTGAAAATCCAGATATTTGGGCCAAAATTGTCAAATGTGAACCCCCCCTGGAAATTTTTGAAAACTGAACCCCCCCCTTGGCAAATCCCTGGTACATGTACATGTTAGTTAATATCTGTTGAAAAAGCCGACGACTCTTTTTAGCTTTAACGCTCCCATTATATAATGGTTTCAACTTTGCTACAAAATATGCTCCCCATGTTTTCTTGAGGGTGAGCTCCCCCTGTCCAAATATTCTTTCAAAATCATGCAGTTTTTCATAATTTCGAGATTTTTTCTGCGATTTTGGGCCAAATTTGTGTAAGTGAAGACCCCCATGGAATATTTTTGAAAATTGAACTAGGCAAAAACTGGCCTGCAATATTTACTTTAAAACCTTACCTGATTTAAAGAGAGGTACACATATCCTAACAAAACCACTACAACAAAAGCAGCATATCCCCAAAACATGCTCCTTAATTGACACATTGTATAGCCCCCGAATGTACAGTGGTTTAATGAAATATGTGTTTACTTTTTACCGTCATTAGCGATATATATAAATCCTCCAAACTTTACTTTTGTATTAATTTACAGCTTTAAGTCCTAATACAAATACAAATATGATTTTAATACAATGAATGGTACAGAAATGCACTTATCAAAAATAAAATTAGTTTCCTATTTGTACTGGTATTTAAAAACCAAAGTGGCCTTTTGTGTAATATCTTCTCTGGACCTTAACACTGTCCACTGGTTCAGTGAACTATAAATGGACATTTATATAATTTTTCAACCCAGTGATTTGGATACTGATTATTTAAATATTTGCTCTACAGGGTGCACATAAATATTGACACAATTATTTAAAATGGATTTGCCTCAGTCCTGTGTTTGTTGATTTTAGAGTAAAATGTAATTTTTATAGTTTAAAAGCAAGTGAACTTAATTATAAAGATACATGTATGTAATATATCAGTTTATAAATGTTCATAATTTTACTTTCTCACTATTTAAAAATATTAGGCTTATATTCTAAATCTAAATATATCAAAATTTTCTTCTACAATATATTAACAACTTCTGAAAAAGGGAGGGCTATTTAAATGCAAAGGTTATTAAAACCACATATCCCATGCTATTTTCCCATAGGGAAAACTCGTGCTATCCTTTGTTTTCAGCATTGTTTTGAACATCAAAAATTGATATCTTCAAAGCTGGACTTTCAATACCATTTTACTTTTGAAGGGAGCTTTAAACCCCTTGTTGAATAATATTTCAGACAATAAAAATCAGAAAAAGATCCTCTTTTGAGTTAATAGGTTCAACATTTTGAAAAAATGTCCCCACTCATAATTGTTCGATTGTTTGATTGATATTTTTATTATCTTTGAGCATTTACATAATGCATTTTTATTTATTTTTTTATTTCTAGATTGTTTGGTAGTTATTATCCTTGAAAATTTATATTATTTTTTCTATTTTTTATTTCTAGATTGTTTGGTAGCTATGAGGCGCTCTCAGGGGGTAGAGCAAGAGATGCTTTAGTGGATATGACAGGTGGGGTTGGAGAGCTGGTCGAGCTTGAAGAATGGACCGAAAATGACAAGAAAAAACAAGAACTGTTTGATAACTTAGACGAGGCTATGGAGAATAATTCTCTCGTTAGCGCATCTATTGCAGTGAGTTTTTTATACAATTTTTTATCCTTAAAATCAATGTTACATATATGTACAGGGTGGGCCAAAAATTCCACCCCTCTTTGATTATTTCAATCGGTTTATGCATTTACAGCCACAGTATATCTACAAAATTACCATTATAAGGTAGAATTCAATTTCCAATCAGGGGTTGAGCTAAGGTTCTGAGATCAGCTGGTCAAAATGGCATTATGGTTGCCATTGCCATGTTATTTCCATATACCTAGTAATCAACTGGTCCATTTCAGAAGTAAAATACCTGTTTTTATGTCACCACCACAAGTGATGACATAATTGCTATAGTCTCCAACTTTTATGTGCACCTTGATTGGTGTTTGGCATTTGTCACATGGTGTATGTAACAAATGGCAGGTGGTGACATTTTGCGTGTTCATGCCTTATAATTTTACCACCATTCACCAAATAAAAATGAATTAAATGGAAATAAATTCATTATTTTGCAGGCGGGTGCTGGAGAAATTGAGGCGAAACTAGACACTGGTTTAGTCAAGGGTCACGCTTACAGTATCACTGCTGTTAGGACATTAAAACTGGGAAAGGGATTTGTGGCATTTTTCAAATCGGAGAAACTTTTAATGATTCGTTGCCGCAACCCTTGGGGAGAGAAAGAATGGAATGGTCCTTGGAGTGATGGGTAGGTCAAGTTTTCTATAAAAATATTTTATAAGTACTTTATTTTGTTATTGTTTTTTATCGCCACCATTTTTGTGACATAAGTGTTATACAGGGTGTCAATAAAGTTCCTTACATTGACTTTTATTTAATTGTAGAGACTAATGGATACACTCTTCATCATTGTAAATTTATTCCAGCTCTTAATTACAAGTTGTTCACAAAGTCTCTTTATACTTTACAGACTTAATGGATACCCTGTACATCATTGTAAATTTATTCCAGCTCTTAATTACAAGGTGTTCATTAAGTCTCTTTATACTACACAGACGTTTTGGACACCCTGTACATCTTTGTAAATTTATTTCAGTTCTGAAGAGTGGAACCAGATCGGAGAAGGTGAAAAGACAAAACTAGATCTATCATTTGGCGACAATGGAGAGTTCTGGTAAGTGCTATTGAACTATAAAGGACCTGGCCCAATTTGGTACTGTATTTTCCCCAACGATAAAGGACCTGGCCCAGTTTGGCACTGTATTTTCCCCAGCTATAAAGGACCTGGCCCAGTTTGGCACTGTATTTTCCCCAACTATAAAGGACCTGGCCCAGTTTGGCACTGTATCTTCCCCAGCTATAAAGGACCTGGCCCATTTTGGCACTGTATTTTCCCCAAATATAAAAGACGTTGCCCATTTTGGCACTGCATTTTCCCCCATCCATGTCTTTGGGCAGGTATTCCTTTGTCCAATGGTTCACATTATGTCCCTAATTTACCAATCATTGTACTTTTACTTTCAAGAGATATTTGGAGTATATAGGGACTGGGTGATCCAAAAGAAAGTTTACAGTTATTTAACAATCTATTTCTGTAAATTGGAAACCTACTTTAAGGCCACCCTGTATTAATTTTACGTGTAATAGTGAGATCTAGAAAGATTTAGACATGAAGTTAAAACAAAAGTCAAATACAGGCTCTAATTAAACATGGTCTCTTTTGAGATATGTGACAATTGCACTTGGTTCTTTTGGGAAAATATTTCTAAAATCTAACATGGTCTGTTTGGTGATTTGTTGTAAATGCAAGATCCTTTCGGGTAAATTTGGGTTTTGGCCAAATGTTTTTTCAGAGTTATATAATTTTTCACCATTCTGAGTACATTTACTTTTTAAATCATTTTGGCCATTTTTGGGCCAAAGTTGTCAAAAATTCTGGCTACAGGCCTGAGAAACAATGTCAGCACCATAGCACACCTATGCAATTCATTCCCAATTTTTATCAAATCACTTACACTATTATAGTTATATAGTTATTCAACCATTAAGGTCAGGGTGCACTTTTTTATGAAATTTCATGACCATGTGCTATTTTCAGATAAACATAACTCATTCCACACATCATCTACATCCTTCATTCTTGCACAAAAGATGCATTAATGTACCTAGATTATTAATTGAGGCTTGTTAATTCTTCAGAATGTTTAATAGCTAGAATATTCAGTGGTTTACTTTTCAAAATTGCAAAAAAATCCAAAGTGCACTGGCCTTAATCAAAATATTTTGAATTTTAACTGCCATTAACAGGTAAAATCAACAAAAAATGTGAAAAACATTTTCTAATTCATTAATTATCAGTGATTTTTTTTATTCAAGGAAATGACATAAAAAAAATTTCTGCATGTTCAAAGATTCATTGATGATTTTTCCAGAGATTTTATATGTATAGCCTTACATGTAGATGTAGAAATATCTTCAGTTGTTGTCCTAATTGTATTCCGTAAACAGTCAACATGCTTTTATTTGTTAATAAGTTTTTGTAGTTCTTTCATAACTTGTGTAGTTTCCATAGTTGCCCACACTTCTTGTCTGGGATAGTTAAGCCAGTACTTGGAAACCAAGTCCTTTTGTGTATGTCTCCCAGGTCGCTCGAACCATCCATTCTGCCAGACAGTGGCTACATCTGTTGGTATTGGTCCAAAAACATCAACGTATTGATCCTTCACAAACAGTGTGTTGTACCAATCAGCATCGATAAGGGTGTAGCCATTGGGTGTAAGTAGATCATACCAAGCACGCAACGATGCCCCATATAATATTTGATTTTCCTTTGGTCGGCTTGAGAGCAATGTCCACTTGAAGTCAGCCGTGTAGTTCGTGTGATAGTGAACACCTGGGGGAAAAACAGGATTATATTCCATACTATAGATGTCAGCACTGACTCCAGCCTCGAGGAAAGCTTTCACAACATCCCAGTCGTATGAATCGATATCAATCTTCAGCACACCTACATTCTTGGGGATTCCGTATGTTTCACAAATACGTTGGACATTTTTAGGAGTTACTATGTCAGTTGTCTCATTCAGCCATTCACTTGAATTAGTCTTTTTTAGGCGGCCATCTGTTTTAAAACCTTTCCAACCAGCTTGAAGCAATTCTGTAACATCAGATTCACCCGATGCTCCTAAATCAATACCATATTTGGTAATAGCCAATGGGTATCCTTTGCTGATGAATTTCACAAGATTTATTGTTGATATATGATTGGTCGGAGACTTTGAATGACCATCAAAGGCATGTGAACGTTGACCAATCAAATCACCAGGATGCTTTATCCTTTTGTGACATAGCTGCTGCTCCCAAAGAATTTGTATATGCTCGTCAAGATTTTTCCACGTTACTGCCTGAATTTTCTGTTGAATTGCATCACAGCCGAGCAGTGTACAATTAGGATTAGTACGATATTTCAAAATGTCCTCATCTAGCTTTTCTGATTGATGTACCTGTAGTACAGCTGAAATCACAAGGTATACAGTCTGTTACACTGCTTCAAAGGCAAGCAGTTAAACCTGAAAGTATAAGAAATCTAAATAATATTGTGCAATAATATATAAAGAAAAAAATATTCATATTGCACATGAATGACATTTGTATATGTTGGATTGCTTGTAAGTTGGCTCATAAAGTCTGTAACCTCTTTTATTTTGATACTTCTCTCAGTTCTCTACCATGTTAATTCTCAAAAAATAACATGGCGGACAGACCTCAAATTACAAGAGGGCACAGGCTTATTGCACTATAAACACTAAATAATCTGAAATATACAAATGTCATTTGTGTGCAATATGAATTTATTTTTCTATATATTATGGCACAATGTTCTTATTTTTCAGGTTCAACTGCTTGCCTTAGAAGCAGTGTAACAGACTGTACATGTAGTTGTGGGTCTTTTTTGCTAAAATAAGCAATTGATTGACCACTTTGAAATACTAAGTAATACGATTCAAAATTTAGAGACAACACTTTGATAATATGAAAATAAAGTACTGTTATCTTTTGATTGCTTTATTTTTAAGGTTTTATTGTTGATACATGTAAATAAGGTAAATCGATTTTTAACAATTATGTTTGTATTTTGCTCTGAATAATACTTTACTCTGATGAACGCTTATTTTTAACTAGAACAAATCAGCAATTACCTTTTGATTTCATCTGCAATACTATTATTGTCATAGCAACCACCAAAACAATTATCTTGGCAATATTTTGATTCATACATTTTCGGGCCATGTCTATTCGCATATCAACTATAGAGCTCAGAAATGTTTCTCGTAATGTTCCGAAGTAACACTTTTTAACAGGGTCGTGGAAACTGCAACCAGACTCCTGAGGTCAATGGAACCAACTCATATTATTATATTGTTACTACAAATAATTAGCTACATTGGAATCAATTTAAATCAATAAGAGCCAGGGTCACCCCGCGCCTGGTTGCAGTTTGCCCATTTGGTTCAACTGAGCTACATTGTAATCAATTTTAACCAATAAGAGCCAGGGTCACCCCGCGCCTGGTTGCAGTTTGTCTACTTCGTTCAACTGATATACTCCAGATAATGTGTGTTATAATCCTACTACTGTAGTTTCAAATTTGTCAAGGCTGAGTGAATTGTGTTTTATTGCAATGTAAGGCCAGTGAACATTAATTGTGTCACGTATGTTTCACTGTCTCAGTGTGCTTGAAAGAAACCGTGTAATTTTTGCATTAATGTGAGCCAGGACTCGTATAGATTGCAGTTCACTAATTTTCTCTAGTGGATTGTTCTTCATACCTGTTCCAATTGTTTATGTGTAAATATTGCTGTCTTAAATCGTTGGAAGCACTGACTATTATATTTCAGGAATAAGAACTATTTGAGTTTCACGGCTATTATATTTTGTGAATTTTCCAAAACTCGCAAAGAGCGTGAAATATACCGGGAGTACAGTCAAATTAATATAACATTTACTCATCATGAATATTCACTAACTTGTGTAACAGGGTCAATTTCACATATTTACATATCTTTCTTTTTATGGTGACCAGTCCCAATTAATATAACATTTCCCACTTGAACAGATACTTTGGTTCCTATTTGTTTTTTATTTAAAACCAGTCTCATCTTGTATTCGCGAATGCAACAATCATCATCTGGATTAACAGTGATCACGTGACTTTTGATACCATTGTCAATTGATCAAACACATTTAAAACGTGTCTTGTGTCTAATTACTACATTACTGTAGGTAGGTGTACTTCCTGTACACGAGGTTACTTTATTTACAGAGCTTGAGGATTCTGAGAATATTGAGATTTTAACTTGTGAAATCCATGAAATTTAATAGCTGCGTAATATGTGTATTCTCAAAATTCGTGAAATAATCGGGAGTACAGTATGTACTTTTCACCATTTGTTGTGACAGTAGTAAACAGAGAATTAAAGTGTACCAGCCTTAATATTCAGATTCCTTGCTGGTTTTCAATTCTAAAACCTTTCCCCATGTTTTACATGACCTTATTTAAAATAATGAATTGATATCTTTAAGAGCTTTGTTCATTCATGCAAACAAAATGCTTAACCCCTTGAATGCCACGAGGGACTTTTAACCCCTTGAACACTCACTGACAGGTATATCAGACACTCAATTTCTCACTAAAATGGGTCTAAATATGACAACTTTTGTTCTATTTACACAAAATATGTATTAAAGGGTTCCGATTAGCATCCCGTATAAAAACAATATGGCGGCTCCAGGCGAATCAACTGGATCAGTCCATTTTTAAGAAATAAGGGGAGTTCTGTAAAATCCAGTTTATTGAAATTGTCTTTGAGATAAAGTAATCCGTTTATAATGATTTTGAAAACGTTATCCAAAGAGTGATTGCGTTCAAATAATACATGTACAACAGCCAATATAAATTCTTGTATTAGAAACCGGGTTGTCTTGCTTTGTTTCATTTGTAGGATATTTCATATGCCAAGCTGTGTGCTATTACGTTATGGGGAAATTTAGATGCCAATTTTTCCTTATTATACACAAATAGAAGATCCTGAAACTTCACCCATAAATGTGGAATTGATTTGTCAAAATAAAAAGCACCCTTTTATAAATGTGTGACGATCTATAATATACTTATGCTATATAACAGTTAGAGGTGTTGACACAACGACCTCGAACCTGTGAACCCTTGAGTATTATTCCGGGATCGGGCCTTTTATACTAAACGGTGAGCAACACCAGAAACGAGCGTTCGATTTGCTAAACGATATGCGTCACCCTTTAAAATGGGGAACAAGAAAATTCGAAGCAAATATGTGACAATTATATGCAGTTCCACGCCTGGTGATCGTGAATATGGGACGGAGGGGGGGAGCAGGCAATTTCTGCTAGGAAATTCAACAAATCTGGAAGATTTATTTTTTCAAGAAAAAGTTTACTATTGAATTGCTAAATGGATAGGCGCACGGTATGGTAGAATATGTTAGGTTTTCTGGGATTTTTTCTGAAACGATACGCATCTAAGGTATGAAATCTATTAAAAAAGGCGCAAGGCCATCAACAGGCACAAATCAACGTTTTTGCTATAAATCAAGCAACAATGGTCTGGACGACCTGTAATAAATACTTGTAAGTGATGTTATCATAACTAAATTAATGTCATTGCTGAATTTATAAAATAAGTTTTCATATGTGAAATAAAAAATAATCGAAAATAATGAATTTGGGACGGAGGGGGAGGGGACGGAGGGGGGGAGCAATATGTATATAAGACATGATTAGAGATGTTTCGCGACTTTAAGTCCTTTTACTCCAAATGTCCCCATTTTTCAGTCTCCAGGGGTATATCATCCAGTTTCTTACTAAGTTAATGAGTTCATTTTTCAAATACAAGAATTCGTGTGAAGTTGTTTCACTTTATAGAATTATTACTCCCCCCCTCCGTCCCCTCCCCCCCTCCGTCCCATTTTAATTATTTTCGATTAAAAAATAATTTTACCAGATTTGTTGAATTTTCTAGCGGAAATTGCCTGCTCCCCCCCTCCATCCCATTTTCACAATCACTGGGCGTGAGTTCATGTGAAAATTTTGAACAAACTGCATTCGTTTTTTGATGTTCTTCTCCTGAAAAATAATCAGAAAAATGTATGTTTGTGTGACATATTCTTTGGGTGTGACTTCAATTACTTCAGGAACTGCATGACAGATACACAAATTGTGGGACAGTTGGAATTTTGTGATTTATACACCATTAAAACTTCACAAGGATTGACATTTGTCACTGAATAATATTCTTAGAAGATTTAGCTCAAGTCTAATGAATAATACTTATATTTTTCTGATTTTATTCTTGTAGAATGCCTTTCATTGACTATCTGAAGAACTTTACAAGGATTGATATTTGTCACTGAACCTTGGAAGATTTGGTTCAAGTCTTGTATTTACTTATTTTTATTAAATTTCATTTTTGTAAGATGTCTTTCATTGACTATCTGAAGAACTTTACAAGGATTGATATTTGTCACTGAACCTTGGAAGATTTGGTTCAAGTCTTGTATTTACTTATTTTTATTAAATTTCATTTTTGTAGGATGTCCTTCGATGACTTTCTAAAGAATTTTACGAGGATTGACATCTGTCACCTGATAAATACAAGCTTCTTCTCCATGCAAGAGACCTGGAAGGGGGATGCTAGTATTGGAGAGTGGAAAAAACCAGACAGATGCGGAGGATGCGCAAATAATACAGAGTCATTTTTGCGGAATCCACAGGTAAATATGTCTGCACCTACACTCCCCTCCATAAATTTGGCAAAGGGAAATTTTCATCTGATAGCATATAAATTCAATGTTTAAATTTTCATTTTTTGTACCTTAGTTAGAGGAGTTTAGAAAGGACCGTGAGTTGTTTTTAGTTCAGTTCTCGACCTTGGGAACTATGTTCCTTGCACTCGAATCACGATTCTCACATCGTGAGCGCAAAATCTTTAACTGTGCACCACCATAATGTACAAATTGTAAGCGGTTAAGGATCTCTGTGCGCAAGTGTAGAAATATGTTCAGGAACAAGGAAATGGTGGTGTCCCGTTAAAGATTTTGCATTCGTGATGTGAAAAACGTGGTTCGAGTCCAAGGAACGTAGTTCGTGATGTCAGAACTGACGTTTGCGTTGTTGGAAGTCTAGGAGGTCTGCACTAAAACTGATGAACAGGGAACTTTTGTAATGCCCTGCCATGTTATTTCCCCCAAATTAGCCATCTGATGGCAAAACTGGTAACTACCTACTCGCATCTCAGTAATTTGAAATCAACAATTACATCAAGTAATTTATGATTGAAGAGATTCCCCAGAGCCAATTTAGAATGTAAATGTAAATTGACCCTTTTTTTCTATTTCACAAAATTCCCCAAATTAAAGCGGGCGCCAAATTACCCCAATGACAGTATAGTCTCTGTGTAAATTGCATCTGTGATATCATCCTTAGCATATTTGCATTCATATAACTCTGTTGAAAAAGTATCCAGATTGTTTATGGAAAAATATTTTCCAAGGAAAAAAGACAATAATTAAGGTACTGAAAAACACAAATTGTTTTTAAAAAGTTCCTGTTCAGATCTAATAAATAAGTCAACAAAAAGGCAAATTGAAATATTTTTGAGGATTCTGGAGTGAATCCATGAAACAGTGGTTGGACTGGTTATTTATTATACTTCAAGAAATCTTGCAAATTACATAGGGAATTCTTTCAAAACTGATCAAAAATTTAAAGATTCTACAAATCATTGAGCCGGGTAAAAAATGATTGCGCTCTTTGAAAATTGGTAAAATAAACATAAATAAAAGATTATGATGTCACATATTATTTTGCTTTTCAGTACTTGTTTGAGATCAAAGGAAAGGAAAAGACCGTAATGATCAGTATGGAGCAAGAAGATACAAGAGATCAGAAAGATAAAGGGGCCAAGAACAATACAATTGGACTTGCTATATGTAAGGTAAGTGCCTTTAAGAGACATAAAGGGGCCAAGAACAATACAATTGGACTTGGTATATGTAAGGCAAGTGCCTTTAAGAGATACAAAGGAGCCAAGAACAATACAATAGGACTTGGTATATGTAAGGTAAGTGCCTTTAAGAGACATAAAGTGGTCTAGCACAATACAATAGGATTGCCATATGTAAGGTAAGTGCCTTTAAGAGACATAAAGTGGCCAAGAAAAATACAATAGGACTTGTTATATGTAAGGTAAGTGCCTTTAAGAGACATTAAGGGGCTAAGAACAATACAATTGGACTTGCTATATGTAAGGTAAGTGCCTTTAAGAGATACAAAGTAGCCAAGAACAATACAATTGGACTTGCTATATGTAAGGCAAGTGCCTTTAAGAGATACAAAGGAGCCAAGAACAATACAATATAACTTGCTATATGTAAGGTAAGTACCTTTAAGAGATACAAAGTGGCCAAGAACAATACAATTGGACTTGCTATATGTAAGGCAAGTGCCTTTAAGAGGTATAAAGGGGCCAAGAACAATACAATAGGACTTGCTATATGTAAGGTAAGTGCCTTTAAGAGACATAAAGGGGCCAAGAACAATACAATTGGACTTGCTATATGTAAGGTAAGTGCCTTTAAGAGATTCAAAGTGGCCAAGAACAATACAATAGGACTTGCTATTATATATCTGATATTGCTCTGACCATGGTATAACAGTAGTTATTTACCAGGAGGGATTTGATATTGGGAATATTGCAATATTAACCTCTTGACTACCCAGAGTGAAGAAATAATCTTTGACAATTTTTTTCATTGAAATTGCCCTAATGTGAATAAATCTCTGCTAACTAATTTCACTAAATTAAACACCACCTGTTATATTATGTGAATGTAGTAAATTGTCAAAAGCAAAAAATGAAAATTTCTCTGTTTTCAACCAATTTTAGAGTCTGGGAATCAAGAGGTTAAGGAACAAAGATTCAAACACTATGCTATCCAATAAAAACTTCTTGTTTCCACACTTAATGAGGGGAGTGTATTTAGATACATGTATCAGGCCCGTAGTCAGGGGGGGTTCGCAGGGTTCGGGCGACCCCCCCCCGGCCAAAAATTCTTTCAAAATCATGCAGTTTTTCACCATTTTGAGCACATTTTAAGTGATTTTGGCCATATTTGGACCAAAATTGTCAAAAGTGAACCCCCCCTGGAAATTTTCAAAAAGTGAACCCCCCCTTGGCAAATCCTGGCTCATGCCTGATTGTATACTTTAAATCATCCACTCTAACATACTTTGTAAATTTACTCCATCTTGGGAATATACACAAACCCTTGTGTCACCCACTCATTGTACGCGTATGTGTATATTGTATGTGTTTTGTGAAATAAAAAAAATTGAATTGAAAATGCACCCCTCCATTTCAACATACTTTGTATTTAATTTACTCCATCTTGGGAATATACACAAACCCTTGTGTCACCCACTCATTGTATGTGTATATTGTATGTGTTTTGTGAAATAAACAAATTGAAATTGAAACTTTTCAGGCTGACTTAAACAGAGAATATCGTATGCATGATGTCATAGAAAAGGTGGCATCTTGTTCGTACACAGATTCACGTAGTGTGTTTCAAAGATGTAAGTTGAACACTGGACGCTACTTGTTGGTACCATCAACCTTTGATCCAGGATTTGAAGGTCGATTCATGCTTAGAATGTACAGTAAAAAAGACCCAAAAGTAAGGTAAGATATTCTTGAGTAGTCACTAATCCGTGAAAATTAATAGCTACAAAATTTCAAAAAACTGAAAAATAATATAACGAAAATGAGGTAAGATATTCTGAGCGTAAAAATATAATAGTCAGGAAATTCCTGGTAATTTATTTCACTTAATAATGTTGAATATATTCTAGTACTGGGGGATTAAAGGCAAAATCAGATCTATATGGGGTGACAAAATTACAAGCAACTTGTATAATTACTCAGATGCGAGTAGGTAGTTACCACTTTCGCCACCAGGTGGCTGATTCAGGGGGAATTAACATGGCAGGGTATTACAAAATTCCCTGAAACTTGAATTTGCATCGGTTTTAGTGGTTCAGTTTTCATATTACTCTTATATATCTGATAGTTATACAAATTAAAATATGTCCAGTAAAAGAAAATATCTGCCCAACACAAGAAAAGATATTTCACTTTTTGTGGTTTTACAACATGGGGTCTATGGGGAATCTCCCCGAGCTAGAAGTCACATTTTCAAAGAAAATTAATTTTTCAAAGTTGATAAACTCTTCAAAACCACATTTTTATGTAATTTTAGATGTAGATTCCAAACATGACATCAGTTTGCCTGAATTGTGAATTTTTAATGACATAAATCAAGATTATTTCTACTCACATCTGGGATATTGACCTACCAATCTATTCCTTACAATATCAAATACAACATCTCCCAAAAGATTCACAATATGTTATACATTGGTGAAGTTATTTATGATTCAAAGTCAAAAAATGGGTGAGAAATGTTTAGATTCTCCCAAATAATAAGAATGGTATACCATAAAATTGAAACAATGTTTTGTTTAGCCTGCTCGCTACCTCTGATTCTCTCTTTAAAGGGAGGAAAGTTCTGTTTTCTTGTATATATTTCAGTTTTTAAAATATTTTAATCAAAGAAATTAAAAAAAGAAGCTGGGAAAACTTTGAGTAGTCACTAATCCGCGAAAATTAATAGCTGCTAAATTTCAAAAAACTGAAAACTAGCGAAAATTAATAGTCGCAAAATTTCAAAATCGCAAGAACATGAAATATAATAGTGTTATAGAATAAACTATTTCTCTCGTCTCGTCAGAAAAAAATTTCAAGAGATTAAGAAACAACATATTTATTTTTGAAGGGAACTAATAGAGGAAGAGCCACCAAAAAAATCTGGATGTTGTAGCAAAGGCCCACAGATGGCACTGCAAATTTCCATCTACAAAGCAGACGGGCTTGAGAAACAGGACGCAATAGGAGGTAATGGTCAAAATATAATTGAGAATTCTTCAATGATTTGTTTCAACTCCAATTTCTACTTCATTTTGGAGAAACCTGCTGAAGCAATTTTTTACTCAGTAAATATTGATATTTTCTGACAAAATATGGCATGATTTGAGGCCAAGATTATTTGATTATATGACTTGAATATTTAATGAAAGACTTGTATCATTTAAATTGTTGAAAGACTGAAATCTTTGGTGATAGGCAGAAGGCAGGGTAAAGTCAAAGGTCATCTATTGATACATGATGTATTTAAATTACAGCTGAGAGTTTCTAAACATTCTTCAATATAGTACTTGTTTCTAAATATTTAATGTTATCATAATATGGTCTTACAATTTAAGGAATTTTACAGTTGATTTGTGACATATTGAAATCTTAGGGGTTTACATGTTGCATTCCAGGGGCAGACCCGTATGTAAAGATCCGTGTAGGAGATGAAGAGTACCAAACTGAATATATTGAAAATACAAGAAACCCAGAGTGGAATGAACGCTGTACATTCTATGTGAAGAAACTATCAGATGTAGTGTTTGAGGTAGGGACAAATTAAGTTACAGTACCCTTTAAAATAATAACTGATCTCACACTCTTAACATTAAAGTTCCAAATTCCCCCTGCTGTAAGTTCATACTTGAGTTTTTCCAGGGTAATCTGAGCCTTATACCCTGGCTGGCATTTCGTCCATTATACTTTTATACCATATACCCTGGCTGGCATTTCGTCCATTATACTTTTATACCATATACCCTGACTGGCATTTCATCCTGTGTAGCTTTATACATTTTATATACAATACAATTATGGAAATATCCATTTCCATTCATTAACAACTTCAGTGAAGATCTTGAGAGTGAGAAATCTCATTCTATTTTCAAAGAATTCAAAGAAGTTCTCTGGATTTCAGGGAATATTGCATATCAGGCCCCTATCCAGAGGGGGAACTGGGGGAGAGGAAGCTCCCCCCCTTGCCAGAAATTCTTTCAAAATCATGCAGTTTTTCACCATTCTTAGAATTTTTCGCATGATTTTTAGCCAAAATTGTGAAAAAACCCTCCCCCTTGGAAAAAAGCTCCCCCGCCTGGTAAAAGCTGGCTACGGGCAAGCTTTATGAACGATGCACAGCTATTCACTTCAATAGAATGAAATATTTGTATTAAATTCTAACCTATTATTAATTATAACAAATTCAAAATATCTGTATTTGAAATAAGATTTTATATGGAGATAAGCCTTTGGTTTAGACATGGGCTTTCAAGAGAAGTCCATGGTTTAGATATATGTACTCAGTTATATAATATTATTGCAAAAACTATGATGTTACTACTCATTAACTGAAAACGCATCTCTGTAAGTGGAACACTTTCAAAGATGAACACTATTTTGAGATATCAAAAGTGTTCCTCTAAGAGGAGGGAAAGCCCCAGAGTTTAAAGATGACAGACATAATTACGTCTCTTGCTTACCACCTTCGTTCGTTCGAATTTTCATCGGCTAGTTATCAAATACTACACTTCGATGGGATGTTTTAATTGATATAGGCATATTCCGTACACCTTTCTTTATCTTGATGTGAAATGAGAAGCTATGATATTGGTGAACACGCCAAAAATGAACATAATATTATTCGAAGCGTATTTCGAAAATTTTGAAACCGCCATGATGACGTCATTTGTTTGTCGACTTTTGACCAATCAGCAACGATATCATCTCAATACAGATTTACATTATAAGCGTATGTCATCTTTGAACCCTGGTGTTTCTCCCCCTCTGTGTTCCACTATACATGTTTTACTGTACTCGGCTATATCAAGGTATGATTTTTGAAATTTTATTGACTTTTCCAGATTTGGAATTGGAACATAATAAAGGACGAATTAATGGGACAGGCCCGAATTATGGCGGCAAGCACGAAATTTCAGGACGACAAACCGCAAACTTTGACGATGCTCGGGAAAGGAGACGAATCCAAACAGTATAAACCTGGAAGATTATTGGTCCAGATGAAATTGACTCGGGACTTCCTTGAAGTTTAGCATTGACTTAAAATGAAATGGATATAGCTCCATTTAACTAACAATGCTCCATTGACATGCCATATTTGATGAAATAATTTTTAGAAGCTGCAGTATAATAAATTAGCAAGGTCATTCAAAGTTCATAATATGTTTAACGTCCTGTTGAGAGGCTAAATCTTCGATTGGGAGGTGAACAAAAAAACAAGTTAATAACAAACAAAACCTTTATTTATTGTATTTCTATTTAATTTAGATTTCGTGATATTGGGGAATTAAAATAATATAATATAAACACATACAAAGATAGCGCACAAACGCTTTCGGTTCACTTAAACTCCTTAAATAGATGTAATTTTTAATCTTGTTTTCTTAAATATGTCGTCGGAGAAGGAAGGTGTCATTAAACATATATTTAACTTTGAATGTCATGCCTAACATGTGAATTCTGCAGATATCTGTTTTCATAAAGCGATAATTTTAGCTGGCTAAAAATGTTGGCAAGTTTTCTCATTGTGTCAAGCTTGTAGTTCACACATGGCATCTTAAGTCTACTTTTATGCTTAACTTAACTGTTTATTTTGTTTGATAGATACATGTAGATCTGAGACTATTTTTTTTATTTTTTGTACATTACATTTATATGTATGTGCAAAATGAATTTAAGTTGCACATGAAAATCTCTTGTTTTGCAATATAAATTTTCAAAGTATTACGACCATTGCTCCACTGTACTTCATACAGGGTATATCAGTCTACCTCTAATATTCAATCTCATTGTATATTTTGTTTTGAAGATAGATCTTTATATATTTTTTATTTTATATTGTGACAAATACTCTTTACATATTTATGAGGTAAGATCCTGTATTCCCGAAATACTTTAAAGAAAATTCCAGCACATTTTATATCCATTTTTACATACCAACTATTAATGACTTTTTACGACAGGGCGTATATATTTAGTGACTGGATACTGTAAAAGTTTAAATTGTTAATAGACTGATACTCTTTACTTTTTTATCTGGTAAAATCCTGAACAGTGTATTCCCAAAATTACTGTAAAAGGGAATTCCAGCACATTTAATATATATATTATATTTATACAGGGTGGGGCAAAAAAACAATACCCAAGTTTAACGATGAAGGATTCATATAATATATGTTAAACCATGCCATGTATTATATATCATTTTAAATATAAATAATAAATATTATTGCTGAGTTTTGTATAAATGTACCTCTTTTGAAGGTGCCAAAGTTCAAATCTCCCTCCATTTTCCACAATTTGGAAATCCGCAGTGAATAATTTTTGTCCCCCATGACACCCATGGTTTCAATTTTAGCCTCTAGCTTTTTTGGCCCACCCTGTAGTGTATATATATTTGGATACTATAAAAGTTTAAATTTTTAATAAACCATTCCAGGTGGTATTATTTTATATTATTTTCATTTGGCTAAGTAAGTTTTCCTTTTTGAACAATAGAGAGTTTAACTTACAGTGTTTTCCACAACCTAAACGCGAATGGAAAATATTTAAGCGATACTTTTGTATGGGTGATTGGTCATATGTATAGGTTGGCGTTTCGATTTTATATGCAAGCTTAAACTCTCTATTAATTCAGATGCAAACCTTTCATACATTACAGTAATTTTACAATGAGCATTCCGTCCAAACTGTGAGCATTCCAACTGTGATATGGTATTTATTTTAATGTTGTCATTATGTCGAACTTGTTAAAGGTGCAATGTACTGTATTCTGAAAATTCAATAACATTTTAGTATAAAATGTTATGTCCATATAAGACATATTGTCACTTTAAGTATCTTGTAGAGAAAACCCTTTAAGTATTGTAAATGTAATAATTGTATATTTTATTGTCATATTGTACCAATATTTACAATGGTACACTTTAAATGTTTGTAAATAGAACATCTTATAACACATGTAATGTGTATTATACTCCAATAATCAGAAGTATTCCACCCATTAAGACAGGATCCTACAAATTAATTAGTGTTTAGTGGGAATGTCTTTTGAAACCAACTTTTTTTAATAAAACTATATTTCAAGAATAAACATAATACAACTACACATATATATTGGAAAATACCTAACATCCTTCAAAAGGTCAGAAAAGATTTAACAAGGGCATACTGAATAATTTGATGGGCACCACTAAACAGATAATAAATTTGTAAGGGCCTTGAATAAATGTACCATAGCTTCCAAAATTTTGTAAGGGACTTATAGTACAAGCACTGTAGATTTATTTTCAAGCTTACAAGATTAGAATCATGAATAAAATATGTGTAATATTTTACATCATTGTTAATATTGTTTTTCAAAACATACATCCAAAGTAACCATGACAACACTCCGTGCTTAAAAATCAAGCAAAATACTGAAGAAAAAATCAAGTTCTAATCTGTGGTAACACCTTTAAGGCTGATACTGACATCGACTATCAATATTGACAATATTAATGCCTGGGTCACTATGCTTCGATCCATAGGCCGGCGCCTGGCCGCTTGAGTGTTTTGTTCAATATTGTATTCAATTTTGAACAAAATACTCAATCGGCCGGGCGCCGTAGTGAAAATCGGAGCAAATGTGACCAAGGCATAAGCTAGCTACGCATCTTTCACATCTTTTCCCTATTAGCCAGTTTTTGTCAAGGGGAGTTTAATTTTCAAAATATTCCAGTGGAGGTTCATATCGGGGTTCACATTTGACAACTTTGGCCCAAAATCAATGCAAAAGTGCTCAGAATGGTAAAAATGATTTTGAAAGAATTTTTGTGGGGGGAGGGCTCGCTTGAACTCTCTGGCTATGGGTCTGAATCTGTCAAACTTTCATTATTGCCCGATTTAAAATAACATGGTAGTCAATGGGAAAACAAAATTTACGTGCGAAGAGAGGTGTTCACTTTTAGACAGATTTTGGATTTCAAAAAATTCAAATGAACAAAACAAGTTTTATATTATCTTCATAATTTTTTATACATTTATAAATTACAAAGTGGATTAGTAGACCATACAGGACATGTAAAACACTCACTATGTGTTAGTCTGAGTGTATATTTATTTGAAATATCAAACACGAGTTGGGTTTCCATATATTTACCATCAAATTAGGGAGGGGGGGGGGGCATATCATATAAATGAATTATTTTTCCCATTTGTTTATGTTTTTGTTATGTTATATTTGTTTATTAGAATTCAAAGATGAAGCAAATAAGAGAAAGAAATCCATCCAAAAATAAATATCAAATATAATGTTTAGATTTATTGGCAAATCCATTTATTCAATTTGGGAGATGATTACGATAAAAACTAAAATATACAGCTATACCCTGTAAAAATATAGTCCAAATGAAAAGCCTTTACAAATCTACATGCATAAATTCTAAATAAAAATAGACAAAAATAATTTGAATATCAACAAGGCTAAACCGAGTTCTATGAACAAAATAATATGTTACTACACTCACTAAATTGTATGTAAACTTTTGGTTTAAAAATATTTTCAAAAATATTTTCAAAAACATTTCTCTCACAGGGAGATATGCTGAGTACTTAAATAGTACTCATGGCATTTTAGTGCTAATTGAGTACTCATTTCAGTAAATATTAGAACAAAATGAGCACTTATGACATGAGTGCGAATTTATTGCATTTTTAGTTCTAAATGAGTAGTCATATGATGAGTGATAAAATAGCTCTAATTTCATTTTTTGATTACTCAATAAGCACTCATACTATGAGCACTGTGTCACGGAGTAAAGGTTCTTTTAATCAATTAGATAACAGACTGTGATTTTGATAACCCATGGCACTATATTTATAATAAAATCAATAAAAATATAAGGTTTTCACAATAGTAAAACAGTTATCACAAATAGAATATGGACTGAATAATGAACACTTAGATAATACGAGGTAAACAACATTATGGTAGATAAATACACATAGTCTAAACTGTAACCCCATCTATAAAAATAGATTGTGCATAAATGACTATTGACAGTAAACTTATACAAAAAGGATAAGGCACAATTTAAAATCTTCTCAAAGGACATGGCACATTGCTCACCTTTGAAATAAAACGATATGAAACATCTATAACACGTGACACTATCAGATTAAGTGCATGTTTTAGTACTAAATGAGTACTCATATCATGAATTAGAACTAAATTAGCACTCGTGGCATGAGTGCTCATGAGCGCGCTTTTGCCAGAGTGCTAATTTAGAACTAATTTTGTACTATTTTAGTACTGAAGCATATCTCCCTGTGATATACAATACATGTATATAATAGGTAACGGGAGGAGTCAGTCCTTTAGAATGTCATAAACACTCTTGCACCCCTTTCATATCATCTGTCACATATTAAACTCTTCCATATTGCTTAAATGGATCAGTCCATGTAATAGCACAGGGGGGTGTTCAGTGATGATTTATCTACTTCTTGTACTGTACACCAGGCAGAATACAGAGCATTTCAAATAAGAGATTAGCTGCTGTGTAGGCTGTCTGCCCCTGGAAGTCATAGGGTGGGGATACCTGAAACATAGAGAAAATAGAGTAAACTCAGAAATTGGTCATTTTCGTGACTGCTATTAAAATTAATCAAGAATTAACAATTCAGAGTTTTTTTCAATTTTTACACTTTTTGTCAAGCGTAAATACATGTTTAGTGAACAATCTAAAAGTGGAACACCTCTGTCAGTGGAACACTTTTCAGAGTTCCAAGACCAACTGACTTAATGTTAAATAAATCTCCAAAGGTGTTCCAGGTTTTACTGGTTTTATAAAACAGGTGAAAAGAAGCCAAGGATTTATGCAAATTAAAAAATCAAAATAATTTTAATCATGTTTATTTGCAACTATGCTATAAGGACCACTCACCTCAACTACATCCCCACCTACAACGTTTAACCCTTTGCAGCCTCGAACTCTCTCTACATATATGTACACTGTATGCTATAAGGACCACTCACCTCAACTACATCCCCACCTACAACGTTTAAGCCTTTGCAGCCTCGAACTCTCTCTACATATATGTACACTGTATGCTATAAGGACCACTCACCTCAACTACATCCCCACCTACAACGTTTAAGCCTTTGCAGCCTCGAACTCTCTCTACATATATGTACACTGTATGCTATAAGGACCACTCACCTCAACTACATCCCCACCTACAACGTTTAAGCCTTTGCAGCCTCGAACTCTCTCTACATATATGTACACTGTATGCTATAAGGACCACTCACCTCAACTACATCCCCACCTACAACGTTTAACCCCTTGCAGCCTCGAACTATCTCTACATATATGTACATTGTATGCTATAAGGACCACTCACTTCAACTACATCCCCACCTACAACGTTTAACCCTTTGCAGCCTCGAACTATCTCTACATATATGTATACTGTATGCTATAAGGACCACTCACCTCAACTACATCCCCACCTACAACGTTTAACCCTTTGCAGCCTCAAACTATCTCTACATATATGTATACTGTATGCTATAAGGACCACTCACCTCAACTACATCCCCACCTACAATGTTTAACCCTTTGTAGCCTTGAACTATCTCTACATATATGTACACTGTATGCTATAAGGACCACTCACCTCAACTACATCCCCACCTACAATGTTTAACCCTTTGCAGCCTCGAACTATCTCTACATATATGTAAACTGTATGCTATAAGGACCACTCACTTCAACTACATCCCCACCTACAACGTTTAACCCTTTGCAGCCTCGAACTATCTCTACATATATGTATACTGTATGCTATAAGGACCACTCACCTCAACTACATCCCCACCTACAACGTTTAACCCTTTGCAGCCTCGAACTATCTCTACATATATGTACATTGTATGCTATAAGGACCACTCACCTCAACTACATCCCCACCTACAATGTTTAACCCTTTGCAGCCTCGAACTATCTCTACATATATGTAAACTGTATGCTATAAGGACCACTCACTTCAACTACATCCCCACCTACAACGTTTAACCCTTTGCAGCCTCGAACTATCTCTACATATATGTACATTGTATGCTATAAGGACCACTCACCTCAACTACATCTCCACCTACAACGTTTAACCCTTTGCAGCCTCGAACTATTTCTAATCCTTGTATGCTTGTTAACCCTCCAATTTCCAGAGTTCCTATAATGTAATCAAATCATTATATTCAGAAAATAGAGCAAATTGTTTCAAATTATGAATCAATGCAATAATGCCATGTTAAAGGCAGATATGCTGTAAAGGATTACTGTTTGTAAAATTTTCATAAATCTTTTTTCTCATATTATAAACCCTATGTGAGGGTCAGAATTTTATTCAGAATATACAATGAAACTGTTCAGAAAAGGTACGCTGAAGATAAAATTAGACTACTGACTATAATTCAAAATATAATTTTTCTAAATATAATGGAATCCAGAATCAACTCAAAATTTAATTTTTCTAAATATAATGGAATCCAGAATCAACTCAAAATATGATTTTTCTAAATATAATGGAATCCAGAATCAACTCAAAATATAATTTTTCTAAATATAATGGAATCCAGAATCAACTCAAAATAAGTTTTTTTCTAAGTATAATGGAATCCAGAATCAACTCAAAATATAATTTTTCTAAATATAATGGAATATATACGATCAACTCAAAATATAATTTTTCTAAATATAATGGAATCCAGAATTAAATCAAAATATGATTTTTCTAAATATAATGGAATCCAGAATCAACTCAAAATATAATTTTTCTAAATATAATGGAATCCAGAATCAACTCAAAATATAATTTTTCTAAATATAATGGAATCCAGAATAAACTCAAAATATGATTTTTCTAAATATAATGGAATCCAGAATCAACTCAAAATATAATTTTTCTAAATATAATGGAATCCAGAATCAACTCAAAACATAATTTTTCTAAATATAATGGAATCCAGAATCAACTCAAAACATGATTTTTCTAAATATAATGGAATCCAGAATCAACTCAAAATATAATTTTTCTAAATATAATGGAATCCAGAATCAACTCAAAATATAATTTTTCTAAATATAATGGAATATATATAATGAAATATATATCAACTCAAAATATGATTTTTCTAAATATAATGGAATCCAGAATCAAATCAAAATATGATTTTTCTAAATATAATGGAATCCAGAATCAACTCAAAATATAATTTTTCTAAATATAATGGAATCAAGAATCAACTCAAAATATAAATTTTCTAAATATAATGGAATCCAGAATCAACTCAAAACATGATTTTTCTAAATTAATGGAATCCAGAATAAACTCAAAATATATTTTTCTAAATTAATGGAATCCAGAATCAACTCAAAATGTGGAGTCATCTATGGATACAATGATATTTATCCTTAATCCTCATACTAATCCCACTAACCTGTTCCAGGGCAGAAAGAGGGGTCGAGAGCATCAATGTCAAAACTCACGTAGACTGGCATATCTCCCATTAGTTTACGCACATCTTCCATGACGGGTACCAGACTCTTGTGCCAGCATTCAGTGGCGGGGTATACAGTAAAACCCTTGAATCATAAAATGGATAATGTGTTACAGGCCCGTTGCTAGCTTTTGCCAAAGGGATTCAATTTTAAAAAATTCCGGGGGAGTTCACATTTGACCATTTTGGCCCCAAAATCACATGAAAAGTGCATGCTCAGAATGGTGAACAACTGCATGATTTTCGGCCAGGGATTCTTTTGCACTCCCTGAACCCCCCTGGCTGTGGGACTGCATTAGTGTAAGGGAAGAAATAGCTAGATATGCTCCCTTAATAGATACAGAAATAAAACTCTGATTTTATCCTCTATTATGCTTAAGCTAAATAAAGGATTACAGTAAAACCTGTATATCTGAACACCTCTCAATGTGATCGTTGCCATAGATTACCAAGGAAAACCTCAAAGTATGAACACAGGTCTGTCAATCCGAACAATTTTGGCATTTCGATCAGACAGATTTTACTGTAAAATAGCATTATGTAAAGGAGGCTCGTTCTGCAGTAAATGATAAAGCTGAATGTCAAAAATTATAAAAAAACAACTTAAAGTTAGGATACATATGTCCTCAAAAGAGGACAAAAATAAACAGAAAATAAGTGAAAAATAAAAACAAAAAAACACTCTTTCCATAAACGAACACCTACCCACCTGATCGATGCCCCATTGCATATCATCTGGAGTATAACTCGTCCCCCTGAGTCCAATCTGGACAGTTTTATGGGGATCGATCAATTTCTCCTCCACAGCACGTCTGAACGGTGTACCATGTGCTATTTTAGCACCCATCATTGTATCTCCTGTGTCAGTATGGGCATCTATATGAATCAGCCCCACAGGGCCATACTTCTCCTGTAAATTAACACATAGCATTAACATTCAAAATTTCACTACCTGCCATTTGTTACAGACACCAACTGCCAAACACCGAAAGTGGAACAATGACCACCAAACACCAACTGCCAAATGCCGAACACTGTTTACAAAGCTGGAGACTATAACAATATTTAAACATTTCTGGTTGTCACAAAAAATGATCAGTCCAAGATATGTTTTGAAATTTACTCTGAATCCTCTTTACCTTCAATGCCCTCTGATCATTCTTGATGATTTGCAGTGTTGATGTTGAGATGAGAACAATCACAATTACAGTTGTAAGGCCTTATCAATGGTTTGTCAAACTTACCAAAATGATCAGTCATAGTTTTGAAAATTATTACGATTACCAAAATGATTAGTCCTTTACTTCTCAAAATTATAAGACCTTTACTTCTCAAAGTTAGAAGGATGGCGGACTGAAGGACATACAGACAGACGTACCTTAAATGCTTGTAAAATCGGGTATGTGATTGTGTGATCTCCGCCCATAGTGAGTGTCTTACATCCATTCTCAATTAGCTTTGCAGTGCCCTCTTTTATCTGCTGGCAAGCTTGGGGCAGATTGTACATACACATGGGCAGATCCCCAACATCTGCAACCTGGAGACTATCAAAGGGGGCAGCACCTACAAATCAATTAACAATTAGAAATGGAAACAAAATGATTCCAAGCAATAAATCAATGCAATAAATTTAATATTTAACAATAATCAAACTTAATGATTTAATAATTCAACTGAATAATATCCAAAAACAAAAAAATTTTGTTATCTTAAAAATGATAGAAGTCAAGTTATTATTGTTTGAGGAAATTATCACACATCAGAGCCCTCTATTGGGTTCAAATATAACAGTAATGTTATTGACCCCCCTGGTCAAAAATCCTTTCATAAACTTGCAGTTAATATCTGCAGCATTTGTTCAAGTGATTTTGGGACCAAAATTGTCAGATCTGAAATTCCAAGAATTATTTGAAAACTGACCCCCCCCCCCCCCGGCAAAGCTGGCTATGGACTCACAATTGCCTGGACACCTAAAGAACCATATAGAGGGCTCAAAAAGACTTGATACTTCCTCTGAGAATACTCGATCATTTATTTAAATGATTACCTTCGAAGTGATATCTTCAATCGTAGTATTTTGTTGAGTAAAACTAAAAATATATGTTATTAAATGTTTTTGAACAGTGTTGAAGAATTTACTTAAAGACTAAAGTTGGCAAGTAAAAACATCAAACTTATTCTAATGCATGGTTAGAAAAATCCCAATCCCTAGTGTTAAAATTGTTAAATAAACTACAGAACAGGTAAAATAATCCAGAACCTTACAAGTATTTTCCTTAAAGGCCCCATATAAAAGTTTAATATAAACCACTTTGGCTCATATTGTAGTTCTAAACAACGTTATCAAATAGTAATTTGTGAAACTTTTTTAAATTTCAAAAACTGGTTTAAAAAATCTCCAAAATTGAGTCATGACATTCTGATACACATCACATCAAAAACATGTCTGTGTTTAGTTGCTCTGATTTTCCATGCCGATCCAGCTGATTGAGTAGGCGGGACTTCCCATACAATCTTAAAATTCACAAGAAGTTAACTCTTTGTTAAAAAGTTGACGTAATTAATTTCTTCATGTTTCCTACCAATTAAATTCACCAAATCTTATAAGACATTTCTAATGTTATAAGAATTCATTCGTGAAAGAAAAATATAAAATAAATCATAGGAACTGTTAGAAATAAGTGAATACTTTGCAAGGACCTTTTGAGATCAGAGATTGTTTATTACACCGTTGCCATGCTGTTCCTGGAGAATTCCTTTTTAGATGTGACATTTAAATCACGTTTTTGTTAAAACGAATTTGATTCGTCCGTCGATTCAACCAATTCTAAACCAAAAGTGTCCGATACCAAATTCCATGGCATGATGCAAGAAGAGAGGGCCATGGTATTCCATGATGAAGTCATGATTAATAGTAAATGAATGATAAAAATATTGACAAACTTTACATGGGGCCTTTAAAGGTAAACGCTCTTTGAAAAGCCTGTATTATAATTGATAAAAGCTTATCTTGGAAACTATTGATTCAAGTGCATTATCTGCGCTCACTTTTCCAGATACTGATACCACTCAAAATCATATCGTAACTGAGATATTTTACCTGTGATTTATTGAAGGGCAATGGTAATTTGAAGAAGGGTGCTTGGTAAGAGGCCTTTTATCTGTTGAGCCTGTAGGGCAGGGGAAACAGATTTTTCCAATAAACTGTGCCATATTTTTCAACAACGTAGAATCATCATGATGTCATTGGTCACAAGACAGGGCATTAACATGCAAAATGTCACCACCTGCCATTTGTTACACACACCAACCACCTAACTCTGCCAAACGTTGAATAACAACCACCAAAAAATGTCCAGAAAATGTAAAAGTTGGAGACTATTACAATTGCATGTGTCAACTTCTGGTGGTGACATAATTAACCTAGTACTATACCAGTGTTGTAATATTCGAAAACATTTTGGAAAAGAATATTGAAAACATTTTGGAAAAGAATTGTGGCATTATGAAAATGTTTTGGAAAAGAATCATGGCATCATGAATATGGCCTCTATATCCTAATGTAGCTTCATAAGCACGGTAAGAGGTGCCAATTGGCATAGTTTACTGGAAAGTTCTATTGGGTAAATAAGGAAAAGAAGTTGGGATGAATTAATAAGGGGACTTTGAGGTGAGGTATATGTTTTGCACGACCTAATGGATAAGGGAGGTGCCTACGAAAATATGGTTAATATGAGGGAAAGGGGATTTCAGAGTTGGCAAAGATTAGTTTTATATGCTATTTTACCATACTGTACGCCCGGTATTATTCGCGAGCTTTAATTTCGCGAATTTTGCGAAAACACGGTTTCGAGGCTATTAAATTTCGCGAATTCTCAAGCTAAATTACTAGTAGATGTACAGTAATTGCACTTACCTGATGTCATAGTTGGATAAGATTTACAATAACTGGGATCTTTATCATCGGCAAGCTGCATATCAACTTCTATTATCGCATCGTTAATTTCGGTCTTATTTTAAAACGAAAAAGCAGTTTGAATTCGTATTTTGTACATGTTGGTGGAAATCATCCAATTATCGCCCAATAACACTAGAGGAAACGTTTTACACAAAACGAAATGCATGTTGTAGTTCTTCTAACAGATGTAGGAATGGAGGGATCAGAAGTTGACGAAATGCATCAGAGCCCCGGGTAAAAACGAATTCCCGGGGATTTAATTGGCAATTTCGCTACGATAATTTTTCGCGATTTTAACACCATCGCGAAAAGCGCGAAAGTTAATCGCACGCGAATAATACCGGGCGTACAGTATATCTCAGCTGATAGAATTCCTCTCCTTTTCAAAAATTGTTTAAGGATTCAAGCCCTGGACCCAGTGCAATGTGGAATGACCATTCTTTGAAGGTGTTGCATTCAAAAAGCACAAGATACAGAGCATCGAGTGTTAATTTTAGGAAACAACGCTTGATAGAAATGGTCATTAAATCTGAGAAGTCCAGTTGTCACCTTGACAACCGCTTGTGACCTTGAGTTGGTTATTGGTTATATTATGGAATGCATGTGAAATAGCATATTCGGCCTGGCTGGAAACACACCTTGCCTTAAGCTATGCATGAATTTCTTTTTGATGAAATAAAATATCAATATTTGGCCTTTTCTTTAGGAGACAATGGGATAACACCAGTTAGCAAAAGAAATAAGTTGCACATCAATAAAAACAAATTAACAACAAAAGTAAACAACAGAAATCAATGAACTTCTTTATAAATCGTCTCCTACCTAATCCATTGCAAAATTTCAATTGTGCAGATTCTGCTCTTATTTGGCGTGGCCCATGACGAGTTCCAGCCTTATTTGACGCCCCTGAGTCTAGAGTAAGACCCCAAAAGCAAGCATCGAGGCCTGAAATTAATGTCTAATCAATATTAGATAATTCGTAAATTTTTCAAGGTTTCTTATGAGTCGGCACCCGTGGGAGATGGAGTGGATGGGTGGAGATATGGGGGGGGGGGGGGGTAAAGGGGGATTTAGTAGATGCCTATCCCTATGATACATATATAAAGGGGAGATATAAATGTACAAGTATAGAGGTTTTAAAAACAAATAAAATGGTAGCAATGCTCGTAGATCTTAATTGCTTGAGCACCAAGCAAGCAAACAAGCATTCCATCCTTAAAAGTTTTTGTGTGAATGTGTATGTATTAAATGGCTTAATTAACACAAGTTAGCAATAGCCAGAAATTGCAAGGTTTCACTTAATCACTGTACTGTACCATGTGACCATGTTTAAAAAGGTTACAGGCTCCTGTGTGAAGTTATATATAGTTGCAAAGTAGTTGCAAATGGAGCGGGTATTCTCTATCTTTGTCTATGGGGGTTTCTGGTAATAATGCAAGTTTGAACTGCTCAATGAACAATGTGTAGAAGAACACTTGGAAGAATGTAAAATCTAGTTTAATTACCTTCAGAAAATTATGGAAATAAACAAAGGTTTTCCATTTGCAATGTCACTGTAGCCAATATCCTTTTTAAACGTGGACACATGGTAAGGTAGACTTGATCTAGCTTGACTACAAGGGCAAATTGCAGGGCCTGAACTAGCTTGATTGCAGGTACATATTAAGTACAGGACCTGAACTAGCTTGATTGCAGGTACATATTAAGTACAGGACCTGTAATAGCTTGATTGCAGGTACATATTAAGTACAGGACCTGTAATAGCTTGATTGCAGGTACATATTAAGTACAGGACCTGATATAGCTTGATTGCAGGTACATATTAAGTACAGGACCTGAACTAGTTTTATTGCAGGTACATATTAAGTACAGGACCTGAACTAGCTTTATTGCAGGTACATATTAAGTACAGGACCTGATATAGCTTGATTGCAGGTACATATTAAGTACAGGACCTGAACTAGCTTTATTGCAGGTACATATTAAGTACAGGACCTGATATAGCTTGATTGCAGGTACATATTAAGTACAGGACCTGAACTAGCTTTATTGCAGGTACATATTAAGTACAGGACCTGAACTAGCTTTATTGCAGGTACATATTAAGTACAGGACCTGATATAGCTTGATTGCAGGTACATATTAAGTACAGGACCTGAACTAGCTTTATTGCAGGTACATATTAAGTACAGGACCTGATATAGCTTGATTGCAGGTGTATATTAAGTATAAGACCTGAGCTAGCTTGGTTAACAGGGCGTATCAAAACAGATTCCGCACGTATTTGACGAGGACCAAATCTTGTTCCAGTACGATTTGATGTTCCATTATCTAAAGTCACCCCCATGAAGCAAACATCCAGCCCTAGTAAATCAAAAAACATTTTTCTTCAAATTCAGATCCCCTGTTCTTTCTGAAAATGGTTTAACGTTCCATCATTAGGGCTAATTGTATAACCTGAAATAAGGAAATGTAGGGGACAACGTGATATAATGTGACACCTTACTTAGTCTTTAACAATTTCTATGTTTCCAGTATCTAAAACAGGTTTGAAACCATCTAGCAAATTGTAAGTTGGTAAATATAGTTCATAACATATTTTGTCTAGATTGGATTAAAATTGTCAAAGTTCAAGCAATTTTTATGAAATTTCCTTCACAAGGTCTCAGGGTCAATTCTCTTGTGAAAAGAAATTGTGTCACTATGTTGTCTGTTTTTGGTACGATTATAACTTACGATTCTAGCAATTATCAGAGAACAAAGGACTGCAACAAAATCATAAGCTACAACATTTCCAAAATTGAAGCCCTGGTAGTCAAGGATTTAAAGATACAGCCCAGTCTTAAATATTTTTCACCAATAATCAGGGGGTAGAAATGCATCCAGTATTTTCATCTGGTACAAACTGAAATACTGGATGCAGAACTCCATTTTTGATCCAGATCCACCTACCTCTCTCTGGATCAGAAATGGAGGTCTGCGTCCAGTATTTCCAGTTGTACCAGACAAAAATACTGGATGCGTTTCTACCCCCTGAAAATGTGTCATGTACAACTGTAAGCCTTGGTCTGAATCTTTAATGTTATCTTCTCAGAGGAACTTATTCTTAAAAGAAACACAATAAATCTATATCAGGCACTGCTTGTCCTAATTGCCTTAGCCCTTGTGCTATAACTAGGATAAACCATGGTACCTAAATAGAGTGCTGCCACCTTTCAGGGCAATAAACAACTTATAGCTATGCTCCTGCTGCCCTCTAGTGACTACCTGTGACACTATGCAATTTTAACTGCACGGATTCTGAACGGATCTGTCTTGGACCAAAACGCGTGCCAGATCTGTTAGATGCGCCATTATCCAATGTAATTCCCATAAAACATGCATCTAGACCTAGGATTCAAACATGCTGTTTAGCTGTGTATGTATCCAGAAATTAAGATCTAGACATGCATCTAGACCTAAGATTAGATAAAACATGGTATTATCTGAAATCTAGACCTTTGAAACAGGCCTTAAGCGTATTATATCTAGACATTTGATTTGAGCCTTGCATCTAGATATGTGGTTTAAAACTTGCATCTAGACATTTGCTTTAAAACTTGCATCTAGACATCTGGTTTAAAAGTTGCGTCTAGATCCGAGGATTGAAACATGCATATATAGATAATTTGTGTTAAAACATGCATCTAGTCTAGACAAGTGGATTAAAACTTGCATCGAGACATGTACCATAGTTTAAAACTTGCATCTAAACTTGTGGTCTAGATATGTGGTTTAAAACTTGCATCTAGACATCTAGTTTTAAAGATGCCTCTAGACATGTGGTTTAAAAGTTGCATCTAGATTTGAGGTTTAAAACATGCATCTAGACATTTGGTTTAAAACATACATCTTGACATGTGGTATAAAACATGCATCTACAGTAGGTCTGAAATTTGAAACATGCATAGAAAGTTTTTGTTAAAACATGCACCTCATCTAGACATGTGGTTTGAAACTTGCATCTAGACATATTACAAAGTGATGTACAATTGACAATGCCATATGCATATTTACATAATACTTTAGATATGTTGGTACCTGCATTTACTTGTAAAGAAACATTTGCAATTTATGTGTAGCTACAAATACATATTTAATATCTTCCCATTTTTCTTCCCTTCAAATTTCCATATTATTCAATAATATTGTTCTGTGTTTCTCTAACCCTTTGCAATTGTTCTATTTATATGGAAACCAATGCATGACATTGCACCACATCTTGGTTCATAAGGTTGCAGTTACTTCAACTTCATGTATTATAGCACCTTGCAGGCCTGTAGCCCTGTAACCCCCCCCCCCCCCCGGCCAAAAAATCTTTCAAAATCATGCAGTTTTTCACCATTCTGAGCACTTTTAAGTGATCTTGGCCATTTTTGGACCAAAATTGTCACAAGTGAACCACCCCTGGAATTTTTCAAAAGTGGACCCCCTTGGCAAATCCTGGCTACGGGCCTGCCTTGGAAGTCAATGATGACTGCACCACATACAATCCCTAGTCCGTTACAAATAACATCAGCTGGATGTAGAGGTGGGTGTAACCATCTATACAGTACATACTACATAGTCTATAATATATCAATATTTTGGGGGACGGATATACCATACTGAGTAGCCTATGCTATTAAATTGTTAGGATTAGAAAAAATAGTTATATTTTTGTATTGACACATTTTCACACCACTTTCTCAAACTTTCCATGCAGTAAGTTGAGAGAGATGAACTCTTCAATTTACAAGTATTTACTGAGTACTTGTAAATATGAATCTTGAAAACCTTGATCAAAATCTTTAAGCTACTTGAGTCAGTGTTCCAACATTTACATAAACTAAGGGATTGTGTGAAATTATCAAAATTCATGAAAAAAGAAGTGAACTTCAAATTGTTTGCTTCCCCATCTAACAAAATTATATGATGTTGATTTTCTTATACTTGAACATTAAACAAATCAACACTTTTCACTAACAAAGGCATAATTTATCCCTCCCCTAATGAAACTAACTTCGTTATTCGACAATTTAATAATTAGGCACTATCCCTAACTGCTTGTTGGAAGTCTGTCACTATGTACAGTCAGACAAAAATATGAAAATTGAATTCTGTTTAAAAGTTTGCAAATGAATCTCATATTACAGCGAAAAGGTGCTATAAGTGTGTATCTATATATTCTATAACAGGCAAAGTAGATATTCTTATATGTACAGGTAGACAAAAAGGCAGACAAAAAATATAAAGAATTGTTTTTGTTTAAAAAGTTTGCAAATACATATCATATAACAGCCAAAAGGTCCACACATCATAGGACAGGCAAAGTACATGTAGATATAAAATATTCCTTTTCTTAGTTTATTCTAAAAGTATTAAATCTAAATCTTCATGTTCTGTTCATGTATTTTATATGGATTAGTTTTTTGGAACTGAAATAGATTATATAAAAATATTCAGTTTTTCCAATCAAAATATATTTGTGTATGATTAAATATCTTATTTGGATGTTGCAAGAAGTAACTTTTTTGTAAGTCAAAATTTATCTTGTAAACAAGTAGTCTTAAGTACACCATTAGAACACTTAAAATTAACTTGATATATAAATTGGATGTTTTTGAACTCATCATGCAATAAAATATTTTGATAACACATTGAAGTACAGGTACTCCAGTGCGAATTTCAAAATCAAGAAAAAAAACTATCCTTTAATTTAATTCCTGCAATTTAATTTAATAAACAAACAAGACACACTTAAAAAGTGATAAATCCCATGCTTAAAATGTAAACAATTAATAATGTCATAATGTATAATCACATTTATTTTTATTATTTTATTTTCATAGTAGTTCCCCAATTAAATGTGAATAAACTTAATTTTTTAACAATACACTATGCAAACTATCACACCATTTCTTTATTTTAGGGATATACTTTACATTCATCTCTTTTTAACGTCAGAGAAACAAAATGAGGTCATTTTATATGTGGGATATCATTATCAAGTACATGTATGTTAAAATAAAAACAGGAAGAGAGTTTGTAAAAAACAGGTTTATATCACTTTGAAAAAGGGTCACACATAGTTTATGTCAACAAAAAGTACAATTATTTTGACATTACAAACAAGTACAATATACGTTGACTGTAGATATGAAGCTCTGTACTCTTAAGTTGTGCAATCATATTCTTAATGTGCAACAGTTCACAGCTGTCAATCCTTTATATTCCTCCAAATGTGCCTTTTAAATGAAAACCTTGCAAAGAAAAATAAAAAAGCTGATAAATTTCTGCTCATTTGAGAACCTTAATAGAATAAAGATTAAACATCAGTTGGGGTGGGGTTTGATTAGTGTTGTTGCGATGTGCCATAATCGTACATCGATGCATCGGCAATTTTCAGTAGTAAACATCGATGCACATCGCGATGTACGTCGAGAAAAAGTCCGAGAAATGGTTCATTTCGACTAGCTAAAACAGTTTTAAAGCGAAATAATATCAGAAAACATTGGGAAATGAAATAAGACATGAGAAAGTTAAGCGATTTGCGTCAAAATAAGATAAGAAAGGGTGATTTTTAGCAAATGACTTTTTTTTAAAAACATCGATGTTTTGTTTCAGACATCGATGCATCGCCAAAATCAGCTTTGGCGATGTATATCGCGATGTATCTATTAATCGCGACAACACTAGGTTTGATATGTCAGGTCTGAGAAGTTGAGAACTGATGTAGCGTCATCACACATCTGCATCTCATATTATGGTTTCAGTGGGCCTGGAGTGGGGATGGCAACATTGATTATACCTTGTAATCACATAAATCACCCATCGTTGTTTCATGTGTCTTTACATGTTTATACACATAGGCCCCGGGAACATGTATAAAATAGCGAGTCGACATCTGTATTACTACTTCTTCTTCCCTGGGCCTATGTTTATACATGTGATGTATGTGTTCTGACATTATTGTAGATAAATTTAAATTACAATTTAATAATTAAAACAGAAAATTAGAACATCCTAAATGCTGCTATAAGCCTGAAAATATCATTGTTGAAAATATAAAATTGTAACATAAAAAATAGCTTCACTGACAAAATTTACTCTTTCAGTTGTTTCCAAAATTCTAATAAACTGACATACCATCTGTTGTCTCCTGAACTGGTAGCCTCATGAACGAGGCAATCCCCGCCGGTCTTTGTAGATCATTTGCCGATGGAGGTTGATTGAATTTAAATGCAGTAGATGTTGAAGAAAACTGTCTTTTGGACACATATGATGCCACAAATTTCAACAACGTTTTACTTCCCATCTTGTTTTCTTTTTACTCGATCATGTGACAAGTCACGTGACTTTGAAGGTCGGTCTGAATGTAATCTTTTTAATGTACGAAATATATGTTTTTAGGCTGTAAAATAGCATAATTGTCATATCTAATTTTTTGAAAATTTATTATATATATCAAAATATAATTGTTTTAATTTTCAATGGCTTTAAATTTCACAATTTTGATAGATAAACCTGTTACAGTTTCGTCTTTTAGTTTGACTCTTACTTCACTATAGAAACAGTTTCAAAATGGCGACCAAGGTTCAGAAAAATTTGGTATGTCTTGTTTTATACTAAGTTTCTACTAATTCAGTCACTATATATTCATAAACTATGCGTATATGAATGCCTCACTAACAAAAAAACGAAAGATTTCCAAAGATACTCAGACACCGGTTCAGAATCGCAAATAAAATGTTGAAATTTGTCGAGATAGATCTAGGCCTAGGCTAGACTAGGCTAGTCTAGTCTAGGCCTACTGAATTTATTTTCAAAATTTGACTTCACAGTGACAATCACAATCAATGAGACACTGAGATAGCTCTCGTGTTGTTTTTGCCCTCCTTAACAGTTTTATTGCTGCAACGTGATCGTGCATCTATTTACCTACATTTGTGTTCTCTTTATTGCAGTCTATGAGCTTATCTGACATGCCAGGGCTACATACCGTGAAAGCCCCAAAAACAAAGCTTTTACGCAAACCAAGAGCGCCTCCCCCTAAATCTAAAATACCAACACCACCTCCACCCGAGAAATTTTACATTGAAGCTGAGCCCAAAGTGTTACCACATCAGCGATCTCCATATTTGAACCAAACAAATTCATCTTTGAAGAATAATGTCTCGCCAGTGCCAAGTATTGAACATCCAAGCATGGTCACTCCTCCTCCTTCTGAAGCTGGGCATGACTATATAAATCACATTGAACCTGGAGATGATATTGCGTTAGCTCATAGTCAAAGCATTGATATTGAGGAATACAGACTAATGAGTAGGCTAACTTCCCAGCCATCACCCGTGTCAAATAGTCTACTAAAAAGTGCAACTCAAAAACAAGTGTCAAAATTCAACAAAGACGATAAAAAATATGTCCTCGATGCAAACTACAGAGAATCAACATTTGATGTGAATGGTTTACAAGAAGATGGGATTAAAACAAAGCAAAGCAGTGTAAAGCCATACAAACCAAGGGGACCAGATGGGTTACCCATGAGGATGCCTAAACAACCTCCTGTAGTTTCTAATGTTTATCTCTATGCAGATGGGCCTGAGACATATCGACCACCAGCATTTACCCTCGAAGACTTTTTAGTGCAAATGTCTCATATTCATAAACTATCACTAGGCAGTGTTAAAGAAAAAATGCTGTCAAGACATAACTATAAAAAATTGACTCGGATTCTTGCTGACAAATGTTTCAAGTTACAACAAACTGAACTAAAGACAGTAAACATAACAATAAAAGGTGGGTTTATTTTTCTTTATCACCTCGGAAAGTCTGGAAAATACCTCTGTAGAAACTTTCAAAAATTGACCTGGATTATTGCTTACAAATGTTTCTAGCTACAATGTATGACAAATAGAACTAATTCATGAATATGTAGTAAATATAACAAATAAGTCATTTTTAAAGTTCAATCTGAAAGTCTGAAAATTATTTTCTTGTGTTTTTACTGTAAATTGCAATTTATAATAATGATACTCTACACATATATTATTTAGACTGATGTGAAGATGTTCCCCATTTTGACACTTTGTAATCCCTTCCCATGATTCTGTAGGCATTGTGATCATCAAGTCTGTTGCCGAGGGAATCTAATAATCAACCAATCTTTAACGTACATGTACAATGTCTCAGCAAATATTTGAAATTTTATTTCATTCTTTTTCATGATTCATTGTATTAAATTTATTATTTGATACAATACAATTACAATGTCTCAGCAAATATTTGAACTTTTATTTCATTCTTTTTCATGATTCATTGTATTAAATTTATTATTTGATACAATACAATTACAATGTCTCAGCAAATATTTGAACTTTTATTTCATTCTTTTTCACGATTCATTGTATTAAATTTATTATTTGATACAATACAATTACAGATGAAGATATTCCTGTGAAAGTTACTCCAAGGGTGCCTCAACAGCAGCTTCTTATAGAGATGGCTGCTGTTATCAAAGAACAGTTCAAGAACATCATGAAATCAGAGGTCAAGACTGTCATACGTCCATTGCCAAAGTACTCCCCTCCCTATATCCCTGGCACTGCCCCTCACACGGAGATCATACTGTATGAGGATGACGGGACAGTGCTCCGAGAAAAATCACTACAAATGATACGGTTTGTGTTTTTTTAATTTAGTCTCGTATTTTGAATTAAAGACAAAACTGTTCAGAACTACACTACCCCAAAAAATGTACCCAATTTTTCTTCATTTTTTCGGGTAGTGTAGGTGTGAGCAATTTCACTTTGATTATACTTTCGACCTAATAAATCTAAGTTATAGAATTGAAACTTTTGATTTGGAAAAATTATATACTCTGAATAAAATGTCAGTAAAATCATGCAGGCCTTACATCTTTTGAACTGCCAATAATTGTTGACTTATTTATTTATAAACATATTCCAGCTTTTAAAACTAATGGCATTTAACGAAAAAGCATTTATATTTTTACATTCTCTATTATTTACATTTGACATTTCCAGTGATTCGACAATGCCCACTAAGGATGCAGTTTTCCAGTCTGCAGATTCAAGACATTTCCAGGGCTCCAGAAGGAGTAACTCCCCTTTCGGTAAGTAGTGTATCCCAGGCCTGTAGCAAGGGGGATCAGGGGTTCAATCGTACCCCCCATGGCTAGAAACTCTGTCAAAATCATGCAGTTTTTTACCATTCTGAGCATTTTTCAAGTGAATTTGGGACAAAGTTGTCAAATGTGAACCTCCTGTGTTTTTTCCGAAAAGTGAACCCTCTTGGCAAAAGTGAACCTCTTGTAACTTTTTTGAAAAGAGAACACTCTTGGCAAAAGTGAACCTCTTGTAGTTTTTTGAAAAATGAATCATCTTGACAAAAGTGAACCTCTTGTAATATTTTGAAAATGAACCCTCTTGGCAAAAGTGAACCTCTTGTGAATATTTTGAAAAATGAACCCTCTTGGCAAAAGCTGGCTACAAGCCTGTATTCAATAATAATTTTTTCCCATAATTTTACCCCATCTGCTTACTAAAATTAAGATGCTTACAAGACAGAATAGATTACTAGATAACTACAATGACTTATTCATTTTGTCATATCTGAGATCTTTACATGCAAGAAATGATATGGCATTTACCAGAAGGATGTATTCGCTCATTAGAAGGGTACAGTGATCTCCCCAGCATTAAAGGAAGTGGGCGCAGCACCCACCTGAGACTTTGGAAATAGGCTTGCACCCACCTGGAAATCCATTTGCACCCACTTGAAAATGACAAAAATCATAAAAAATGGGCACATTTTGACCAATTTTGGTCTAAAGTGTGAAAATGAGAATTTTGCACCCGCGTGTGAAAAAATCCTGTGGAGATCACTGGGGTATCTTCACAAAATGGATGTGTTCATGAGAGGATGTGCTCACTAGAAAGATATTTACTAGAATGAAGTGTTTAATAAGGTGACGTGTTATCAGGAAAGATGTGTTCAGTGAAGATTAAGAGAATTTAGAGAACTTCAGTATAGCAAGTCTAAAGAGATAAAGCTACATGTAAAGCCTGTGTGAAAGAAATTATGGTCCCCCAGGGATTATGGTTCCCTTTCTTAAAGGCCCTTACTGGCCCTGATTGTGGCCACGATAATGAGGGAAAGAGTTGTATTTAGGTCACCATATAAATCAATGGAAAGTAGGACCATAATTTGATAGGATCTCCTACCCTTTTACACCGGCCATTCCTAAACATTATGTTTATTTCCAGCAACCAATGAGGAGCAAATTTCACCTGCAGAATTGTCTGTTCTGGACTGTCTCGTCAGTGGAGCTACTGCACTGAGTCTCAAGGTACTTAAAAATATATTTTCATATTATACAGGCCAGGGCCCCCGGCCCAAAATTATTTCAAAATCATACAGTTTTTCACCATTTTGAGCACTTCTCAAGTGATTTAGCCATATTTGGGCCAAAATTGTCAAATGTGAACCCCCCCTGGAAATTTTTGAAAACTGAACCCCCCCTTGGCAAATCCTGGCTACGGGCCTGTTATATTTGAACTTTTTCTAAGGTATTTTCCGGCACTTGGTCAGTTTGGTGCATTGATTATTAGAAGGGTGATTCTAATATGATGCGTGACGTCACAATAGCTAGAACAATTGATAAACTTGTCTCTATTGCTAAAATTCTTAAATGTAAATAGTTGTGCTTCTTGTCTGTTTATCATATTATTAGAATCGTAACAAAGACCTCAATTTCATGATTTATGTCTACAGGATTTCGGTCTTTTAACTGTGAACAGAATAAAATAAAAAATTTCGGTCATGTATTACGCCATGAATCATAAAATCTCCGTCTTCATTCCTTAAATATATCGTATGGAACATGTGATGGGATTAAAAAACTTAATTGGGAAAAATTAGAAAAAAAGTGATAAAGAATCTCTAAGATGAGCAATAATAATGTACGGATATTATATGCTGTACTATAAAAAAACTAATGGGGGGAGAATTAGAAAAGGAGTCTTAGAATTGTAAATAAGCAGGCCCGTAGCCAGGATTTGCCAAGGGGGGGTTCAATTTTCAAAAATTTTCAGGGGGGGTTCACATTTGACAATTTTGGCCCAAATTAGGCTAAAATCACTAGAGAAGTGCTCAAAATGGTCAAAAACTGCATGATTTTGAAAGAATTTTTGGCCAGGGGGGGGTTCGCCCGAACCCTGCGAACCCCCCCTGGCTACGGGCCTGATAAGTGTTAGGCTAAATGGTATACTGTACATGTACCTCACTCAGTTGTATACTCTACATTACATAAATGTTTATTTTTAGGCTCATTTCATCTCAGAGATCCCTGATATCCAACCAGTCTCCAGGACCCTCAGATATCTGAATTTATCCTTCAATGATTTCTCTGTAAGTAGTTTTGTAATTAACAAGGGTGTATCTTTGTTTTAAGAATAGACAAGACAAAACTTGAAACAAAACTAATGAGGCAAATTACAGATTATAAAATATGCATTATACCATGGGTTTCTCTCTCATACATTAAGCCTATTCAAAAAAGTCCAGAGGGTGTTGATTGTGCTCCCCTATGGTATAGGGCCTGTTTTATATATTTGGACTATAATGCCCAAAGTTTTGAAAATATGTTAGAAAAATATCTTTCTGTAAAGTTTGGTGTTGGAATTGGTTGCTTACTTCATGCTTGGCCTCCCCCGTGAATTAACAATAAGTCCAGTATTTTCTAAAAGAGGTTATAGGCTTATGTATTGAGCAACTCAGGAAAATGAATGAATTTTCTAGTTGAAAAATATTGATTCACAAAATGTGACATATTTATGGGATTTAGATTTCCATTAATGAAATGGAGCAAACTTTAAAGATGTATAATTCCAAAGTGTAATCCGCATTCTTTCACTTATTGAAAATAACCATAGCAATTGCATTTGATTTATTTGTTTTATCATTTTAGGAAATTCCTGAGGTTGTGTTTTCGTTGCATCGTCTTGAGATTCTGAAACTGCGCAACAATCCAATTGAGGAGATTCCACCTGCGATATCTGGTCTGAAGAGACTCCGATCTCTTGTTATCTCATTCTGTATGCTAAGCTCGGTCCCTGTAAGGTCAGTACACAAGATAAAGTTTAAGTTGTGAAATCCTAGTGATCTTTGCTTTAATTGAATATCCAGGTGCCATGATTTCTTTAGAGTTTTAAAATCATCCAGCGCCATCTATCTGCACTCAGCATACTTGCAAAATAATAAAATGTTGGGGTATTATTTGACCAGTTTTGAAACTCTCTGTAAATTAATATCACCTTGTATGACAAATGAGCTAAAACTTTTGCATATAGACAAATATACAGTAGAACCTGTGTAAGTGGAATGCCCTAAAAGGACCACAAAAAAGTGTTCCACTTGAGAGGTGTTCCACTTACAGATGTTAATTAACATGGAGTCAATGGGCTGCAGACCTTCTAAAATCCCGTTCCACTTGTGAGGTGTTCCACTTACAGAGGTGTTCCATTTAGCAAGTTCCACTGTAATTATAAATCTAGCTCTTCTCAGAAATTAATCTACATATTAGTACATGTACGTGTATTATTTTAGGAATTGATTTATTAAAGCTGCAAACATTAAATTGATCTTCTCTATTTTTTATTTAGTTTATTCCAATGTGAGAAGTTACGCCATCTTGACCTGTCATACAACAGACTGACCTTCTTACCACAGGAGATGGAAAATGCAAAGTAAGTACATGTAAATTGAGAATGAGAGGAAGATACACAGACAATATAATTCGGCGCCGTTTGGGCATCAAAAAGATTTGGCGCTGTTCTGGCACCGTTTCGGCACCATTCTGACACCGAAACCTTTCGATACCAAAATTTGGCACTGGACTAGTCAGTCCATTTGGTGCTGAGACGGCACCAAAATTTGGCACCAAAACGGCGTCGAAAACCAGATTGGATTTTGGGGGTGTATAGTATATAATCCCCCTGCCTCTGGGAAGTTCTTAAATGCATTTTACTGACTTACTTTTTGGGATTTTTCCCAGAATCTTCAAATACATAAATTGATATTTTTTTTACATCATGTGAGATGTAAATTTTTAAGTGTTCAAATTTGGAAAATGTAAATATTCAATGTGATGATTGAGTAAAAATGAAAAGTAGATAATAATATCATAGATTTATATTACAGTCGATTACGTGAAATGAACCTCGAGGGCAACCAATTGTCTTCAATGCCTTACGGTGCCTTACGTCTCCCTCGCCTGAAATACCTGCGAGTTACCAATAACTACATGCACCCTCTTTTCTGGAAAGAACACACTAAGAATGCTCCCCAGCGATTGAGTGATCTTGCCGCGTTATGTTTCACTCAAAGTGGACGACGTGCAAGATATAAAACAATACCAGATGAAGCTGAAAAGTTGTTGAGCAAGTAAGTCATATCTGTTTCAAGATTTTTCATGGTTAAAGGGGCAATAAAGAAATTGAAAGTTTAAAATGTTGGGAGTAATTGTTCAAAAAGCATTCCAATATTTCCCTTACAATCTTTATTATCTGAAAAAGGGATTGAAAAATCCAATCAAACGTGGAAACTTTGAAATTACTCCCAACTCATATCTAGTCTTAAAAACAGATTTTCACACCTAGTTTTTGGTAAATCCCAGTATCAATATATGAATTTTTAAACTTTCAATGGGTAAACATGACAAGCTTGCACTTCAGATGTTCACTGCTTTTTAGTTTTTCAACACACTGACTCTTTTAAAATTCTTATTTTTCAGGGCTTCTCAGTGTAACTGCTGTAATGGACCAATTTACGGACCTGGGTTACGCATAATCCGACCAATTTCTAAAATATTCTCTGTCAAAAACCTGCCATTTTTATTTCGAGCATGCTCGCCATTTTGCCGAGATGTTTTTATGGACAGTGGTGAAACCCTACAGGAGATTTTATACGGCCAATCGGATACACAAATTGTAAATACTCAATCACCAAGTGAATCACCAAGAGAATCGTCAAGACAGAACGATGCCAACAGTACACCACAAAGTATTATTTCTGGACCAATAGGAATCCAACAAGATTTCGCATTACAAAAACAGAATGTTGCAGTGACATAGAATTTGTTCTTGAAAATGCCTGTTCTAAAGGTCAATTTTCTCTTCAAACAAATTCAGGAAAATGATGAAATTATGAAATAAAGCAAATAGGAATTTAGTAAACACCCTACATAGTGCAAGAATTCATATAATTCAAATCAACATCGATGAAATTTGAATACTGGAAAATTGATGTTATATTTAGCCTAACACCCCAGTCACATTTGTCGCACGGCAGCCGCAGGTCGGCCGCAGATCAATTAAATCGGTGAATTTCGGCTGCGTGGGAAATGTGACTGCAAAAGTATGAGAGCGCAGAAATTCTGCGGCGAGCGTAGAAAAGCAATTGGCCGCAGAAATGATAGACCACACGGCGGCCGCAGGAAATGTGACTGGGGTGTTACTAAGTGCTTTATAGGTTTTAGTAGTCAGTATTGCAAAGCGTTTGCTAATATCTTCAGATTTTTCCCTTTCGGACCTTGACGATAACCTTCAAGTGACTTTAACCTTTGGAAGTGACCCTCTTCTCAAGGTCATACTCTGACCTTGTTGATTACTTCACGGAGCGTTTAATTCATTTTGTAATTCACATAAATAAATTGATCATTGCCCTTTAGATATGACCTTGAACTTCGATGACATAAATGATATTGGACCACAGGGCTCTTCAATTTTGACCTTCCATTCAAAAATGGAACAATAAGTCTTGAACACATATAAAAGACTCTAATTGGTTGCAATTTTTCCGGCGTCAACAATACCCATGGCTTTCATAAAAAATTCTGACAGGAGGCAATACAAATGAAGAACATTCAAAATTATTTCAAAATATAATTTTAGAATGGAAAAATCATAATTTAAACATTGAAATAGCGAAATTCCCTGAAACAACAGTGAATGGTGAGAACAACTGCAGGAATTTGCCATGTTGGCCGCTGCTGTAAATAAAGAAATTGAAAATCAATCCAAGCTGCCAAAATATTATTTGCTATTGTATTATTATGGCTTACTTGTTTAAACTAGATATTATATGTGCCAATTACAGTGATTGGGCAACACAATACATTATGATTTACATGTATTACTTTAAGTTCATAGCTAATGGAGCTGTTACTCTTAGGCCTTGTGGGCTCACTGTTTGCCGCCGTGTGAAAACTTTGGGGCAGACACAGACAGCGGGGCGCGGTATCTATGGATACATGGTATGCAAAACAAATAATTTTATAGCAAGAGGATATCCCCCATTGCACCAAATACAAATATTAATTAATTGATTAAAAAATGAATGCCCAAAATTATTCACAAATGGCAGAGAGTGGGCCCACACGTCTAAAATTTAGTCTGAAATAAATTCACGATTTTCGAACAAAAAGTCAATTTAATAAAAAGTTTCACATATCACATTTTGATAACATTGGGTAAGACTACAATATTAGTGGTTTAAACTTTATATGGGGGCTTTAAATATTATTTTTGAAAACCTACACTGATTATTTACAATGTACAACTATTTTTACACAATAAACCCTGTTTACGATAATACCAGCAGATATTCTTTTTTACCATAATATTAGGAACATTAAAACCTGTCTAATCCGAACGCCATTGGGAATAGCTTAAAGTGTTCGGATTACAGCTAAAGGATGATGAGCTCGGATTTCGAGGTTTTTTGAATTCAAAACTGCGTGTCCTAACAAATTTGGACCATCCAAATGCTACATTGCTATGCTGTACATGTGTATTTGACTAAACCTTACTTCCTGCGAAAGCTATTTGGATTTTGATATAATAGCTTTCCCACGGAGCATTTGGACAGCTCAATGATCGTGACCTTTGAAATCGAATTAAGTCGATCCGCGGCTTACTTTTGGTCTCTAACTGTGTCTTACATCAGTATCATCAATCCGTGTAAGTATTGGAGCGCTGGAGTACTTCTTTTTCGATCAAGACTTGTAATTGTTAGTCGAGGGAATCGTTTTACTGCCAAATTCCAATATGGCGGTTTCTGCTCGGACATTTTCGTAAATCTCCGGAGGTTGTCCGAACCTAACTAATTCTCAAAATTCATTTCGTTCGTTGCGTATCTCGCACCTAGCAAACCGCCATATTGGAAATAGGTCTGTAAAACTTTAACTCGATGAACAATTTACAAGTCTTGATCGAAAAAGAAGTACTCCAGCGCTCCAATACTTACACGGATTGATGATACTGATGTAAGACACAGTTAGAGACCAAAAGTAAGCCGCGGATCGACTTAATTCAATTTCAAAGGTCACTATTGATCAGCTGTTCACTTCTCCGTTTGAGAGCCATAAGTTTCAAAATCTAACATGGCTCTCGAAGTGAGTAAACTAAACCTTCACTGTGATTGCACTCTTCAAACGAATGGGACTGACTGTGCCCCATACATCAGTAATGATATATATATACAAGTATTTACATTTTTAAACGAAATGGTGTACACTATGTTTGGCTTAATTCGGTGCGGATAAACGATCATTTTTTGAATTAGTGAAAGTCGTGCTGGGTATTCGATAATTTATGTATATACGTGTAGACAGAGTAGATGCTGTCAAGGTACAGCTGAAAAATAACATTTTGGTAAAAAATTGCTATAATTGCACATGTTAATTTCTGGTACAAAATAAAGTATGAAGGCATGTGTCAATTTCTTTGCTCTTTTCGGGAAAGTATCATTACATTGTCTTCTTTTAGTATATCTGTTAAGAGTTCAATGGGAACTCCAGAAAATTCTGATATTTCGCACTTTCTATTTTTCCAAATTTTCTTTCAAAGTTTCCAGACAACATAGGAGTACCATTGACCTGTTTCCAGGTTAACTAAAAGTAGACAGTGTAATAATACTTTCCTGAAAAAACAAGCAAATATACACATGCCTTCATACTTAATTTTGTACCAGAAAATAACATGTGCAGGTATAGCAATGTTTTACCAAAATGTTGCTTTCAACTGAAGCTTAAAAAGGAAAGTAAATAGTCATGTACTTAATCCCAGGGCAACGCAATTGGCATTTAACCTTCAATTTCGTCCATCCGTCAACTAACTGTTCGAACTCCCGTGCAGTGTCTCAGAATAGAGTAGTACTGCCACGGAGTATGCAAACTGTTAAACGTGTGTCCTTCTGTCATATGTAATCCGTCTATCCAGGCTTTAACTAACAAGACGGAACATAATACTATTACAATAAACCATTATTAAAAGATTAGTCACCTTTTGAGATGCATGGGCCTTTATCCAGCACATGGGCAAAATACTAAACCTGAAGCGTCGGCTATTGAGGCCCCGTGCAAATATATGAATTCAAATATTACTTTTCATGATTTGAAACACAACAGTTTGAGTCATTTTTGACAAATGGGACCACTGAAAAAAGTATTTTCAAATATTTGAGCCGCTAAGATTTCTAAATCATCAAATACGACACTTAAATGATGAGAACTAGATGAACTGAACACATTCCTTTGGAACAACAATCAATCAAAGTGTCTTCATCATTTTACAGTTAATTATGTTCTACCATCGAAATAAAGTCTTTAATCTAACCGATCAAAATGAGATACGGGACAACGGACACTGCTATATTGTGGCGATTCACGACCCAATTTGATCGAAACTGGGATTTCTTTATTCATGCACAGAATTAAGGATGATAAAATCCCGTGAAATGAGAACCAAGTGATTAAAGAGTTGAAGCGACTGTTATGTCCGCCATTTTTGACAACAGTATCTGGTTTTACCGCTGTCAGGCTATTCCGGTGTGCTATTGTAACGAAAACGCCCGGGTCCTCATCGTGAAAGCCAGAAAATATATAATTGTTCTAACTCTCGACATCAGAAATTATGTTAATGTCTCAAAACGTCAAAAATATGGAGCGTGTCTCTCAACTTATGGTAACGTGTCTCTAAACTTATGGTAGCGTGTCTCTCAACTTTGGCAGTGTGTGCCGGCGTCTTTGATTGTAGCGTAAAAGTTCGTGGGGTGAAAGTATATCACCAAGGAAGGATTTATATTCAAAAGCCTTATGATAAACTGTTAAACTCATAATAAATGTCAATATAACTTATTCCCATGACTTCAATTGTAGTTCGCAAAATATTTTCCAGTTAAAAGTTGTTTTGACTAAGTTTAAGCTGACCTGATAGTCTCATATTTACTACCACTGACCATGATTTTCAACACAATTCAATATTCATATAACATTTCTTGGTCAGCCTTGCGATAAATTACATTCCTTCTATTGACAAAATATACCCATGTTATGGCAGTTACGGTCACTGCATCTGGGTTAAACATTTGGATACGAGTCAAGGATGACTAACTCTCATACTAAGTTATGACCCTTAAGATGATATACAGACACAGTAGTTTATGAAACTTAAATCAATCTATTACAATTTAGGGATATATACAAAACATTCAATGTGAGGTAAGTTAAAGCATGATATTCTTCTTGGCTTAATAGTAAACAGAGAACTATATTTTAGATCGCACTTTTAATGAGAATAAATATCAATGTAATCTCAATATATAGTCACTATTTAGACAGTCCACTAACTTTATAATTACTTACAATACAAACTGACTGTCATAAATTCATGAAGTAATCTCTGGCTCATACTATCCACAGCTCTACATTACAAGCTTCAGAAATTGATTATTTGATTATTAACTCCAGTACTTAATTACGACATATGAGTATATTTAGAATTGAAATGCTTACTAAAAAATCACAGTATTTTAATTTTTTCAGAATGTGCCCAATAGAGTATATTGCTTTAAATGATAGGAGCTTTGAAAATTATCTGAAACAAAAATTGTGGTCATCAAAAGGAAAATGAGATTTTTCAAATCAGTTTCTCATTTTTTTGAATTCAAAGTTTCAAAGCTCCTATCATTTAGTGCAATATGTTGGGCACATTTTCTGAAAAATCTGTTCAATGACCTTTCTGAAACGCTAACTTCTAGCTTTTTTCAGTCACCTTTTCAGAGGGCTGAAAAA